AGAACTCTTTTCTGAAAAGTTAAATGGATATTTTCAATTAATGATTTAATGGTGGTGGAAAGTGATCTATTATTGTTGATAATTCTCCAAATAAAAAAATCAACGCTAAGTTGATTTGCATGTAATGATTGTGTCTTGTTGCAGATGATCTATCATGCAAACAAAGAAGCCTACTAACTCTTTTATGCATCATTATTTTGTGCCAGTAAATTTACGACGTGGGTAAGTGATACATTATCGTCTTAGTGTTGTATAAAGAACTGACACTCACATAAATAAAAAAAAGAGTTAATATAAGGATCAACTAAAAGTTTTTACGTGAAAAACCCAAAAGTTAAAAATCAAGGGGTCTAGCCCAGTTGAAATGACTTACTATGTCAAAATGATTATAAAACTTTACAGGCTCTTGAATCGGAAGCAATATTGCATAAATGGAGGTTATTGACCTGACTTTCACTGGGGAGTAGTGCAATATGTTAGGGAAGTTGTAGGGACTCAACAACTATGAAGAAAAGTAAGACAGTAGAGGTCATCTATCAAAAAATATGATGTCAGTGTCTTCAGTAGTAGTAGCCTAATGGCAATGGATCAATTGTGGCGACGATGATGGCCTACAATAGAGTTACAATGGTGGCTTTGACCTGATGGTGGTGGTCGGGTGTGGAATGGTGGTCTGGTTGTAGTGATAGTGCTGGCTAGGCAGTGCTGGTCTGGCGGCAATAGTAGCCAAACGACCGTGGTCCGCTGATGGTGTTTCAACGGCAAGGACGGTGGTGGTAAGGTAGTGATGGTCTGGTGATAGTGATAGCTTGACAACAATGGCCTATGGTAGTGACAAAATTGGTGGCTGGACTGCGACCCGAGGAAAGTGGTGGTCGGATGGAAGCCTGACAACGGTGGTCCACCAGTGGTCTGGAGGCGACAGTCATGCTTGTTGGTCAACGGTGTTTTAGCAATGGCAACGGTGGCTAGACGATTGTGGTCCGATGAAGGAGACAGTGGTGGCTGGCTGTGGTGAAAGCTCGAAAACTTTCAAGGGCTTGGAGTTCCTTCGGTCGTCTCCTCTAGATTATGGTTCCCTGCATGAAAAGAGTGGGGGTCTACTTATAGATTTTGTGATTAGCATCCTCCATAAACATTGCATGAATTTAGACCACTCCATCGAACATTCTAGAGTAATTCTCTTAATTGTATATAGTTTTATGAGTATTTGAATGACTTAATTATTTTGAAAATAAGTAATCTTAGGCTTGTTGGATTTCCCTTCTCAAGATGTTCGATTTGACTATGAACGTTAGATTTCGAGATTATTTGGTTCCCTATAATATATTTTAAAACTTCGTATTATGTTTTAAGTGCATGATATGGGCTCACTTGAACTAAAGTCAAAATTTTTTTATGTCATTTGGTTTCTCGTTGAGATGCTTTTGATCATAAATTGGAGTGTGTGTATTTTCAAATTTAATTTTTGAAGCTTCAGGTCCGAATATGCATCGAGAGTCGTGCAGATCATTATGATTTTTTAGGGGCGTATCAATCATGTTAAGTAATTTGTTTTTAGTGTTGAAATTTGTAATGTTTAATGCTATGGGAGAAGGTAAGGTTTATAGAGTTTATTGGAATTTGCAAGAAGGGTAGATTGTAATGGAGTAGATTGTTAACTATGGTACAAAAGGCAAAAGTTTATGATTACTTAAGATTTTCAAGATTAAATATTGACCAAAAACTGACTATGAATATTGTGGCCTCACTAAAGAATCACAAAATTCATAACTTCACCATAAATCAATGCAAAAGAGAAAACATTAAATAATTATTTGACAAAAAATCTCAAGATTTTCTTGCTCTTATACCAAAATTGGTGTGGCATAAAATTACTCTATTGCAAGGGTGGACACTTAGGGTTTGGATCTCTTTGAATTAATGTAACTAGAAAGAGTGGATATACCATCCATGGTGAAGTAGGTCAGCAAATAGTATAAAGGCTATGAGCACCATTAGGGTCAGCCCACATAAGATAGTTAGAATTTAAAAAGCTTAGGCTAGACTTTGGTAATTTAATGCAAAGAATCTATTGAACCTTGATCTTGAAAATTTGGAGAATATTAATTCAATGCATCAAAAAATATTTTGGAGTCTTTCATAATTTTTGAATTTTATTTTGTATTCTTATTATTATTATTTTATTTTACAAGGACTAGTTTAGAAGAAGACATCTCAGGTTGACAACACAATAATGAGTCCGGCTTTAAGAATTGGACTTTGAGTTTGTTTGGGCCAGTTGCAGTTGTTTGAAGAAGTAGTTGTGAAGCTGTTGTAGAAAAAAATATTTTACAATAAAACTATGATGACAATTATAAATTTATTTTTTTCAAAAAGTCAAATCGCAGTTTTCTGGTAGCAACCACACTTTAACAGCTCGAGTTGAAAAAAACAGCTTCCTATCATATAAACTTCTAAAAAACAACAAAAAAAACAGTCCCCAAACAAAACTATGGTGGGACTGAAAGTTTTCCCAAACAGACACTTATGTTAAGAAAACTAGGTTAACAGTATTTGAAAATTTAAGTTTTGATCTAAACTCTTCTACAATTTTCTTACGAGTTATCATCTAAACTTGCCTTTTAAGAGAGTAAACAAATTCTGAGCTTAATTCATTTAGCATGAAATTTCCTTAATTTGTCCAATTAATTCCCTTATAAATCTTTCTGATGATTAGTTCGTTGAAAATTATCACTATTTATACAAATAATTTTGAATTACAAAGCTTAATTAGGATGTAGTCAGAGATGAGAATTAAGACTATGCATAACATCAATCTCATGGTCTATTTTAAAAAAAGTAAAGAGATATTTACATACATACCACATAGTTCTTATACACTTATCTAATACCTAAAGTTTGGTATTTGTATTTTATAACACTTTAGTATTAAAATATAAACATGAAAAAGTGTATTTCACTTTTAAAAAAATTAGCGGTTGTGATATTTTTTTATGTGATGTGAAAGATTTGAATGTGATGTGTGTAAATATAAAAATTTAGGCGGTAGATATGTAAATAAATAAGAATTGTATGATATGTATGGTAAATATTTAATAAATGTACACTTGAAGAAATAAGCTGATTACTCTTCGGGCCATTTGGTTATGCAATGTACAGAGATTACGGTGTATTTGAAATATTTTGAAGTTGTTTGGTTCACTATAAAATAAATGTAGGACATTATGTTTTTTATTTGGTGTGAAATTAATTTGCAAATAGTGTATTTACTTGGGCAAAGGGCAAGAGCTGATGGCGGCGGTGGGCGGCGACTGACGGACGGCAGTGGCGGACGACAACAGGGTGGCTGGCAGTTGCTGACGACAACAGGGTGGCTGGCAGTGGCGCCTTGCCTATAACATTTTGCATGAACTATGTAATTCAAATTCAACTAAAATTCTAAATTTAGCCAAAAATGAATGGTGTAAACTTTAAACTCATTAAAATCTTATATTGTATTTGTAAATTTCCATATCAAACATGAAATTTTCTCAAATCTCTACAAAAGAATTACATAACAACACTAATTCACTCGTCCAAAAAGGCTCCATTATTTCACTCATTTCTTACTCAGGAATTGACATGCATAACACCCATTTTTTATGTATTTACAACAAAAGCAATTTTACCTATGTATAGAAAGGTGGATTTCTATAATCAACCTTTCATGCATAGATCAAAGTGCTTAGATTGTAAAAATAAAAATATGGATATTAAATAAGTACATAAACATTAGGTGCTGCATATGTAAATTTTCCTCCTTTTTTACTTATTTTGAAATAAATATATAATAAATTTTGTACAAATCACTTTTATACGCTTATCCCCTCTAATATTTATTTCTTTTATAACTCGTAGATCGATAAAATATTATATTCTTGTGAGATTAACCAATTTTATCTTATTATATATATATATATTAAAAGTTTAATTTAAATTAATATAAATAAATTTTCAAATATAGTTTTAATTAAATTTATTCACAAATTTTAAATCAGATTTCAATGATCTTATTCACAAGAATATATCAAAATTTTAATAAAACGTATTCCCAAACTTATCCAAAAACTCTAAATGAAACTATTAATTTAACTTCTTAACAAACTTGTTTGCAAGTTTCAAGCCAACAATATACTTTTCACAATCAAATTCTTGCAAAATTGTCCACACTTATTCAATTAAATAATCAAAACGAACGTGGATCTCTTTATATATTGTTCGTAACAATGAACATATTCAGCAAACAAAACAGACTGCACCCGCAACCATTATATTCGCTCTATTTAATTTGCAGCAAAACATAAAATTCTTACTACGGAAATTTACATACGTAGATATAAGTTCCATTTGTCTAAATATCATCATATATATCTAACAAAACATACAATTCTTACGACGGAAATTTACCTACGTAGATGTAAGTTCCATCTGTCTAAATATCATCATATACATCTAGAAAGCCATATGCTTTGGGAGAAGCTTGTACAATTTGTGGAGTTTTCATTGATAAAAAAGAAAACTTTATTTCAACCGATATGCCCTTAAGCACGGCCATATATAACATATAAATCAAATTTGAAAAAAGCAAACAATTAGCCAGAGCAGCAGATGTTGTAGCGAAACTGATTGCAAAAGAGGATAAAGTGACCGCATCAAGATTACCACCTGGGGAGGTCCGTTTGATATCCAAAAACTACTTAGCAACAGTCAAACAAGTGGGTGATATTGGGGGCATACCAAAATTTTGATTTTTACACACAACACCTTACCTATATATATAAAAATGTGATGAGTGGTAAGTTCGGTGTTGTGTATGTAAAAATCAAAATTTTGGAGTGCCATGCGCAAATGCATAAAAATCGGGTGCTATGTATGTAGATTTCCCTTCTTACTAATGAGAAACATGAGAAGGTTAAACAAACTACCGAATAAAAAAGTTTTAAACAAAAGGTCTTTGGTAGCTGGAAAAAGATGATAATTCAAATATAAGGCGCAAAAGCATGAAGTAACAGAGAAGCCCGCGGCACAGGATTCATACAAATCATTAAGTGAAGGGCAGTATAGTTTAAATGCATAAGCATAAATGCTTGGCGTTAAGTTTCAGGTCATTGTAACTGGATATATAAGGAAGAAATCAGAAGAAAAAAAAATGAATGCAGCAGGGAATCTGAGCTTCACTCCTTTGCAAAATCTGCATTGTAGTGCGCGCTGGACTCGAGCTTCTTTGCCTCATTGAGCTTTCTCACGGCCTGTGAAATGCCAAAGATGATGAAACTGAAGCTCGCATATGGGTTCATATTAATAAGATAATTATATGTCAATCCAAGCATGACAAACTGGCTAATTAGTGAATGAATATATCATGAAATTAATGAGAATATAGTTTAGAATCATTTGCTTGGAAAAGATTTGATAAGTAGAATAAGTGTGGATGGCATAGATGTCCGAATATAGACAAATAATATAAAATTTTATAAATTCCTGAGAGTATTTTATGTGATGGCATCTATAATTTGGTAATTATAGATTGTGGAAATGAAATTAATTTTGTTGACATGTCAGAAGAGGTTTTGTTCAATATTTGGATGAAAATCAAATTTATAACCATTCATTGTATTAGCAAAAATTATGAAGTACATTACTTCTGTTTTGACTAGAGCTTTCAAAAAAATCATGGATTATGAACAGCTTGGCTCATGCTCGATTCATTCATTAAGCAAGCGAGTCAAACATCAAAATATATGTTGAGCTTAATTTATAAATAAATCAAATACAAGACACACCTTTGTTTGATCAAGTTCAATTCATTTTGGCTTGAATTAAGTAAATAACTAAATAATTAGCTTATTAAAACTTTTATATATTATTTTTATGTTTTATTTAAAAAAGGCCTTATTGTTAAATCTTTCGAGCTAAATTTGAGCCGAAAATAGCTGCACATAAACAAATAAATTTGGATTAAGCCGAATGCTAACATATTATTCATGAGTCAATTTCAAACAAACAAAAAAAGTTAATGAGCCGAACATCAAACATTTAGCTCGCTCAAGCATGACTATTTTACACTCTTAAATTTGACAAAATACAACATGTTATGAAATTGGTTACCCCACGACGAAAGTTATAGGTAGATATAAGTAAGTTTGTAAAAATTAGATCGGACATTAAATCGGAAGAAGTGCCTAATTCAAGGAAGAAGTGCCTAATTCAAGGTTCAACGGCCGGATGACATAATAAGTACTAACATTATTCTAATATAATTTAAATGATGTGATAATAATACAATAATGATATTTTCCACAATTGAACATGCAATATTCTAATTCAATACACTTCACTATTTAATATTTGGACATAATTCTAAATCAAAATTATAGGACAAAATATTTTAATTATTTTTCCAATTTTAATATAATTTTTTTATTTTTATTTCTAACCATCTGATCAAAATCAAAAAGCCAAAATTGATTTATAAACAATAGGCTTGTTCATCAAAAACAGGTCACAGTTAAACCCGGATTTCAGCTGGTTGAGGGCCGAAGTAGTTTTAAACCTGAACCAAACCAATTAGCAGAGTAATTCAAAGTTGAACAGATCAAACCAATCAATCTGGTCTGATTTTTAAAACCATGGATGTAACTATTATAAGTTGTGAAATTTTCATCAAGGATTTGTTTTCTATTCTTGTTGAAATACTTTAGAACGATTTTATCAATTACAGGAGATTATAGCACTAGAAAAAATATGATGAATTATAAAATGGGTTGAATCGCAGGAGAGGAGCTTCAGATAAAGTTCTATTCACCAAAGAACTTGAAACCAATGGGAAAGACAACTTAGCAAATCACATTGGATTATTATCACAACATTCATAAATAATTTCAGAAAGGGAAAACCATGGACAGCAAAGAAAAGACGGAAAGAAAGAAAGAAAAGTGGAGGTCTTTCAACCATGTTGAAACATAGACAATTAGAAGAACAAATATAGATTTTGAACCGAGATTGAAAAAAAATCATCTGAGCTCAATATAAGAATAGCAACCCATGAGCAAAATGAAAAAGATTGGTGTGGATTTACCATTGAGAGAGAGGAAGAAGAGGGAAAAAAATGACATCCAAAAGATCAGCTCAAGTAATCAGCATTAAATTAGTGAAGAAAACTTGATCCAAATAGAACTAGTTTTCTTTTTTCCTTTCACTTTCCTGGTAACCAAAAGAGAGATGAAGGGCAAAAAAAAGAGAAAACTTACTTTCATGAAGTCCTCATGAATTACATAATCACGTTCAGCACGAATTGCTGACATCCCCGCTTCAGTGCAAACATTTCGAAGGTCGGCACCATTGAACCCCTGAAATCCAAAACACAGAATGGGATTAGAAATGGTCGGCGTTCCTAACAATGTCATCTACCATTGACACATCAAATAGACTCACTTCGGCTAGTTTGACAACTGCTTCATAGTCTATTTCGCCATGCTTTGCAATACCGGCTGCGTGAATCTTAAGAATCTCCATCCTGGATTGTTCATTTGGCAAGGGAATCTCTATCTTCCGGTCCAAACGGCCCGGACGGAGAAGGGCTGGGTCAAGAACGTCAGGACGATTTGTTGCCATGATCATTTTAACCTAATGCACAGATAATAATAATAGTAATAATAATAATAATAATAATAATAATAATAATAATAATAATAATAATAATAATAACCAAGTAATCAATCAGAAGTAAGATGGTCTGAGATTTATCATATGAAACATTAAAAGCAGAAAAGGTTGAGACAAAAGGTCCAGTCATCATTAATGAACAATTTACAGACATAATGGAAAGAACATGATGTGAAATTTTAATCCTAATGTTCTTACAGACTCGGGGAACAGTTCAATACAGAGTCAAATGGATTATGGGCAGAAAGCAAGGACTATAATCATTTCTTCATAAAACAAAACATAGAGAAGATAAACCATAAATGCACAAAATACTATACCATCAAGGAATAAAGCCATTACTTGTTAATATCCAACCATAAAAGTAGAAATTCTTCAAAGAAAGCTAGAACATTCAAAACATTACATGATAATAATAGTAAAAGCTATTCATCCATGCCACGCATCAAATCTAAGAAAAAAATTAAAGTTAGTCAATACCTTTCCAAGTTGGTCAAATCCATCCAACTGATTGAGAAGCTCCATTAGCGTTCTTTGAATCTCTCTGTCAGCACTAGTTCCCTCGCTAAAACGGCGACCGCCGATGGCATCAATCTCATCCATGAAAATAATGCATGGCTAAATAAATAGAGAAAAATGTTAGATAATTCTAAGTTTCGATTAGAATTTTTCAAATTAAGACAATGAAGCAAATTTTTAAGAGCACAAAAAAATAGAGAGACCAAAAATTTTGGTCCATAAATCAGGAAAGACGAGACAGAATGAAGAATTCAGAATGCATAGATACTAACTTGGTGATCTCTTGCATAACCAAACATCTCCCTTATCAATCTAGCACTTTCTCCAATATATTTGTCAATAATGGCACTGGATACAACCTGCAGTAACCAAAACAAAGTAAAGCACATATAGCTGCAGATGAAAGAAATGTCAGCACCCAATCAAAAAAAAATAGGACTTACCTTTAGAAAATTGGCATCGATATTACTCGCAATTGCCCTGGCCAGTAAGGTTTTTCCAGTTCCAGGGGGTCCATAAAGAAGAACACCCTGGAAAAAGTACAAAAAAGCCATTTCAAACTTAAAAAAACTAAAAATGCCAAAAGCTATCCCTAGAAAAAAAGAGAAAAGAAAGTAGGTAATTCATGCGTACATAAAGTGGTATTTGAACACAAAAAACTCATGCAAACTTACCTTTGGAGGTTTAATACCAACTCTAAGGAAAAGTTCGGGATTCATCAATGGTAATTCGATGGACTCGCGAAGTTCCCGAATCTGATCAGATAACCCACCAACAGCTGAATAGCTTATATTACCAGGATCCTCATGAAGCATGTTGTAAACAACAGGGTCAACCTGCAAGGGTTTTTCAAATTAACGGGTAATCAGACTACAACATCATTTACACATCATAAAAAAGAGGGGAGTAAAACATCAATAACATAAAATATACTTTTTCTGTTTCTTTTATAAAAAACCATAATCTTTAGTGAGATTTACCTCTCGAGGAAGAGCACGCATTATTGTAAGGGTGGTCATGTCAAGAACCACACGAGTCCCAGATGTCAGCTTATCTTTATCAACTTTGCTTCTGCAACCAACAACATATCTAGGACCACTGCTAGCCTTAACTATCACTGCATATTAAAAATAAAAACAACCCTGCAGTCAATAATTTGGGAGAAGCGAAGAAAAATCTACATCAAACTTTGTATTATATGATACCAATTTTATGAATTGGTAACATAAACATCTCATCAAATAAATAAGTTGTATGATGAACTTACTCATCCGCTGAAACACTCAATCAAGACAGTGTAGTTTTTAACTATGACTGCTCTTTTGAACCATAAAAAAATTCAAATAATAGACTGATATTATAGAACTTTGCAAGCACATAAGAGCACTAGGGTTGTGAGATGCACCTTCCTTGTGTTGCCTAAACCAATCAGTCATAAATGCCACAAAGTAAAATAATCTAAAAAAGTCAAAACAATCCCTTGACTCTTTACAGGCAGCCATTTTAGTCCCGGAGTCTGTAAAAGTGTCAATTTAATCCCTAAAATTTCTTAATTGGAGCTAAAATTGTCCTGTTTTGTGGACTATTTCAGCCCATATTAAAAGAGTGGGGACTGACACTTTTATAGACTATGGGACTAAAATAATCCCACATAAATAATCAGGGGACTGTTTTTGCACTTTACTAGATATAAAACACATTTACTATTTTGATTCATTTCAGGTGAAGGAGCAATTTAAAATTAGAATAAAGATTCAAAAAAATCTTTACAAGGAGCAAATATTAAAGAGTTTCAAAGAATCTAGTTTGTTCGAAAACATGTGTGAGCCAAAAAAAAGTAACTTTGCACAGAAACCGAAATCCAATAACAAATACAGACTAATAAATACCAAGAAATTCGCAAAATTTCCACAATAATTTGACAATTTAATGATGCGACTAAGGATTCAGATAAAAATAAAAAATTACGAAAAGTGAACTGCTAGAGTAGATATTATCCTTCTCTCATGCATATCAAAGATCACATTGATCAAGAAGCCAAAGAACCATTCCAATAATTTGACCAACAATTTGGTGAGGTTGCAGACAAGTATTTATAAGAAAATAAATAAAAATAACTCACAACGTTCATTATCAAGAGGTCGAAGAACCTCTCCAATAATTTGACCAACACTTTGGAGGGACTTCAAGTCATCTTCGGTCTTGGAAAACTCTTTCTTTGCATTTCTCAGGTTCTCCCTAACTGCAAACAAATTGCAACTGAAATAATTATTTTCTCAGAAAATTAGCAAGACAATGTTGGCAAATGTATACATTGAAGGAATCCCTAAAGACAAAACATTACGTCAAGTATAAAAATTACACCCAATAAGATAATCTTATAGATTTAAATAGACTTTTTACTATGAAGTTTGTATCCAACTTCAATGTCAAATAGAAAGGAAGTTTGATGAAAGGATACAACGGAGTTCGAAGAAGAGAGAAGCCCTCCCTAATAGAGGAGCAAACATTACATCCAAACTCCGGACGTAATTTGCATCTGGAGTCCAATGGTGGGGCGTCACATGTTAAGTGAGCACATTGCAATACACTGAGATTGGTCAGTGTTAAAATTTGTGGGACCCACTTGACACGTGACGTGCCACTATTGGACTCCGGAGTCCTAACATAATATTTTTTCCTAATAGAGACGCAGAAACCTAGAAACTAACTCTACACCTAATAAAAAGAAATTGAAAAGCATTCAAATGTAATCTAAACCAAGTCTTTTTAAATAGATAGTAACATTGAAAAATTCCGTAGATGCACCCATCTTTTTCAATGTTGTTCCTTACAATTCGTAGTGTCGATAATGCCTATCTTCAGCAGTGGCTCCCAGAAAATCAAGAAAAGTTGGATTTTGAAACAAAGGATAAATCTCTAATCTCATTATAAAGCTAATTGGAATCTCCCCGCGCCCCAAAACCAATAAAAACTTAGTAAAGGGTTGTGTCAAAGTCCTCATAAACTAACAGCTATATCATGCCCATTTAAATCCAACCCTCAACTAGCAAATATCAAGAGACCAGTGATGGATGAGATTGTGGGAGGCAAGATTAGGAGAATAATATTTGGAAATGGTTTTGGTAATGGGGTTTATTGGAGTTAGAAGCTGAAAATTAACCTAATCCCTGTTTACACACAAATCGATGCAGATGCGAAGGAAATAATAAGCTCAGGCATCATTCCAATCCAAGAACACCGAAATTTTGACCCCTAAACCTTTCAGAAAGCCGTAAACACGCCAGATCAAAACCAAGGATTAACATAATAATAATAATAGTCGAGATTGTAGAAGGAGCCTCACGCACCAGTTCGGACCCTGGAATTTTGCTCCTTGTAGTTGAGAAGCTTCTTACGATACTCGTTCACCACGCTCCGACGGCGGGCGGCGTCATCCGCTTCGCTCATCTTAATTCTGGACAACTGAAACAAATCAAACCAGAAATCTAGGGTTTCAACACAAGTTGGGTCGATTTAGGGCTGTCTGGCAACGGATTTAGACCAGGATTTAAACCGTATTTAAGCTCAAAGCCGCGGATTTGATAAGTCCGTATTTCACGGATTTCGGCCGTAAAGCCCAGATTTTTTAAATCCGGGAAGAGCGAAGAGGAAGACTAGAGCGAAAAGGCTCACCTTCCTCAATGGCTTCTGTTAGAAGCGGAGCGGAATGATGAGAAAGATGGGAGTTTCTATGCTCTGTACTCCGCAATCCCTTGGTTGCCCTACCAGCTAGCTCTTATCGCTTCTGTATCCCGAGGGTTAATTCACAAAGGCGATGATTCAGGGCGAAACCGGTAGAGGAGGGACATGGACTAGGGTTTCGGCAATAGAGGATCAGACCGGGGAGACGAGGGTTTCGAGCATGAGCGAGCTCAGAACCGTACACATTTTTTTTTCTTCGAAATGTGTTCCTTCTCTTAATTATTTTGTTCGTGACCTAAATTCATATTTTATTTATTTTCATCATTTAGCTCCTAATATATTTTTTTATTTTTAAATATTTTTTAAAAATATTTAAAAATGTTATTATTTATATATTTCGAATAAAAAAATAAAAAAAAAACGTAAAAGAATATTATTATTTAATTATTTAAGATTAATAATTTGTATATGTTTGATAATTTAAGGCGGATACGTCGGCCCGTAATAGTATTAAGTATATATTCCCTGCTAAAATGTTTAAATCTTATTCAAACCAAGTTTCAATTATTTTTTAGCCATATTTGTATCCTCAAATAATATTTGAATTATGTTTAAAGATCGCTCGAATTAAAAATATAAAAAATCAAATATAGTTCTCATAAATTTCTTATCAGATTTGAATATTATTTCAACGAAGTTTAAAAAAAATTTAAATATATTTTGAATAACATTTGAAGTTTTAATGTTCAAGTTTACATCGAAGATATGTCAGCCATGATCACGAGAAGATCGAACTGTCCGGAAGAAAAGAGTATGATGAAAGAGGGGTATTTAATAAAAATATCATGAAATTCAATTATCTGACTAAGTACAATCTTCCGAGCCAATGTCTGCATGGACAGAGTCATTGAGTCACAAAACATGACTGAATGATCTGAATCTGAGTGGTTCGGTCATAAATGAGACAAAGAGACATTCAAGTCAACTGACACGAAGAAACTAATTCGAGGGAAGATCTAGCCCCTTATGCAGCTTCGATCTTCTCGAAATGTCCGAAAGCTCTTTCATCCATTATCAATGGTCAACATCCAGACTAACTTAGCCTAGTGAACGAACCCTTCCAACTCAAAACCAATCAAGCTTTGTCGGCCGACAATGCGACTATGCCTAGCCAATAGAATCAACCCTGCTAAGCTGAAGCCAATCAAGCTCAGTCGACCAAGTCAAATAACAGCTGAGTGATGGGCTCATACTTGTTAAATACCCACAATACTTTGCGCAACCCCCATTAAGACGGGGGCAAAATTGTAATATCACCATATTATATTATCTTCCTTATAAATCGATAGTTTTTTATTTATATATATATATATAATTTACGAACAAAGGATAATCAAATTAGCCAAAAAGGAAGAGAAACGATTGACAATTATTACTATTGGCATCGATTTTGGAGGTCACAAATATCGGATGCCCTTATGATGTTGTGGGAGCGTGTGACGCTCACACATGCCCTCCCATAGATCGAGGATTCCGTCGGGACAATACTTGATGCATTCCGTCTCAGGATTAGGATTTACCGTTTCCTGGTCGTGCTCGATAGCGACCACCACTGATTGGTGACGATTTCCCGTTCTAGGGGCAAGCCGAACGATCATTATAAGGCCTATGTGGTCTATTCCGGTGATTTAGGAGCTTTCTGCGTCGTAAAATACACTTAATGAACTCCCAGAGGAAAAAAAAGCATTTTATTGGGCATTTTTTAATTTTTAATTTCTAATTTTGAAAGTTAACAACCATATGGCCTTCAATTTGGATGGTAAAATTTCTAAACAGTTAAGCAATCATACAATTATTTTTTTGAAATTTTTCATCAATAAAATTGACTTTTCTATTCTATAAAATTTCCCGCATTTAAAAAAAAAAAACTTACTTTATAAATAAGTGAAAATATTTATAATTTATATCAATTTAATAAATTTATTTAATAAAACCTTTATAAAACCCTAAAATTATTATATAAGGTTTTATATACATAAAATACAAAAAGTATTTTATTTATATATTTAACACATAAAAACTTACCATTTACTAAATTATCACTAAGATAACTCCTTTCAATTTATTTTTTCAGACATTTACATATATTTATCACACACTTCTTATGTATTTATATATCTAACCTTAATAATTTTAATTTTATACTTCTAACACTCTAAATTTTGAATTCACATAAAAAAAATAAACAATATCATTATTATTATTAACTTTAAAAAAACACACTTTTTTAAATATAGGCAAAATAATATAAATATTAAAAATTTAAATTTATTTATTAGATATATAAATACATAATAATTATATTTTTATGCATCTAAATCTCTCTTTTAATCAAAATCATAAAATTATGGTAGAGGAGGTAAAAATATCATAGCAAATATCATCAGGGGCAATTCAGTAAAAACATTAATAAATTCAGTGTATTTGATTTTATTAAAGTTAAATAAATTTGAGAATTAATATTAAATAATTAAGAAATTGAATTTACCAAATTCAGTTTATGTAAAAGCTTCGAGGGGACATCAGTTGGGAAAGGAAGGGATGGGTCCTATGGCGTCATGTGATGGATAAGAGCGGGAGGAACAGCTCAGAAGCTCATCGGAGCTTCATCTCTAGAGTAATCAGCCCAACCCTAGACCAGGAGAAGGCGCCATCTGCATCTTTATGAGCTCAAGGTGAAGGCGTGGTTGGAGCTCGAGCACCAAAGCCTTACGGATCGGGTATGCCAATAAAAACCCTAGCCGCTCCCTCTATCATTGGGTAGCTGTCTATTCGTCTCCCTTAAGAAAGTTTGCTTTTAGAATCAAATGGTTTCGTGCATTATGGAAAGAGAGGATACTGGGGACGAAGACCTAGAGCCGTTTGATCTGTAATCAGTGGTTTGGGGTTGGTATAATTTTATCCTTGACTTGTTTATTTGATCTGATTAAGCCATATAATTACGTTTTTTTAGGAAATTTGCTTTGGTTTGTGCATTAATTCTTATGTAATATGGGAAACTTACATACAGCACGCGATTCTTATGTATTTACATATCTCAAACCAAAATTTTCATATTTATATACATGGCACTTTGGTGCTCTGAACCTATGCATGAAAAGTTTAGTGCTATGTGTGTAAATTTGAAAGTTTAGGTGTGAGACATGTAAATATATAAGAAGTGTATGCTATGCATGTCAATTTCCCATAAGAATTAATGCACCAAAGTGTGGTTCGATCCTTACATGTTTCTTTTCAGCATCCTAGTTTAGCATGAAAATCCTAGCTATATTTTATAATTTCTCTTCATATTTTGTTCAATATTTATCAAAAAAGTTGTGTAGAGATTAACTAATAGGTGTAATCAAATGAAGATGAACAAAAATTTATATATGCATATCCATTTTACTGGAACAAATAAAGATGCATCAACATAACAATGACTTTATAAGCCAGGAAATTTTTTTTTATATAATTATTGACTATTCTGTAAAACATGTCAAACAAAATTATCCAATAGAGTACAATTGATTGCACTATAGGTCCAAATATGGACAGCTATAAATTCATAGAATTACATTCACTTCTACATTTCTTATGACATTTCAAGTTAAGGATATGGTTGCAGAGAGACACTAGGGAATGTCGAAGGAGGCTTCTTTCTTTTGACTTGGTGATGACATGTTTTGTCACATGGATAAGGACAATCCGTTTCTTTAATCCGAGATCGGCCAAAGTACCAGTCACCAACAGACTCTGCGATTCCCTGCAAATTATCAGCAAATTATAGCAATGTGAACAAGTTGGACATTTGAGGATTTTTCTTGCATAGGCAAGAATGATAAAAATATGGATTTTGCTCATAAAATGGATCCATTTGGTATATTAGGTTTATTTATTTGGATTACATAACGCGGCATATTGAAATATAACTTGCTACTTTGCTATTCTCCCAAACTAGAGCAAAAAGATAGCAGTTAGCAAATAATCTCAGTGTTCATTGTTAGTTCTACATTTTTTAAACAATATTTATTACTCTATTTTGTTCTATTAGATTTCAATTTCAGGAATTGTTAAAAATGCAACTTTACCACACTCTGTTTAGTATTAAGCCTAACAAGCTTATTACTGCACAAGTTGTCTAGCAAGTTAATAAGCTTCTGATCTCTTTTAATGAATCCTGTTTAGGTTCTTCAATTACTTTAGCATAGTAAATGTAGTCAAGGGACAAAAACACTGCAGTAGATTGATCATTTTGAATTCAAGAAAAATGATAGAGAAAAAGAGAGTCATTTAATTTTGGAATGTGATTAAAATATTTTTGTAAGATTTACTATTAAGATTTGATTAAATTAGTTAAAATTATTAGTATCGAGAAATATGTTTAGAGAAATCATGTTTTAATAAACAAATTACACCTAAATTAATATGGGTTGATGATGGGATAACTTTGATGAAATAGGATACATCTATCTCAGTTAAATATTTATTTTAATACCTTTATTGACAGATTTATAAATTTCACATCATATAGGACCTATATGTTGATTTCAATGATGTAATTTTGTGGGATCTCTATTAATTTAAAATCTCATGCTCACTTACATTGAAGTAAGAAGTTATTTTTATAAATGTACATGTCTTTATTAGGGATGTTATCATTGATGTTTGTAATAAATTCTCAGATATTTGTAGGTTGTTAGCCTTGTCTCGAATACTTAGTTATTTGTTATTCATATCATTGTACATCTCTTTTAATATTCATATTGAAATAGTGAGTTACATAGTTATTTTTATTTCAATTTATTGTTACACAAACTCTATATATTGAATTAATTCATTTAGTAGCAAGATCTATTTTTCATGTGTGTTATTATTATTAAATACAATTAACTTACCCGACAAATCATGTTTATTATGAAAATAATGCTAGTCTTGTTGATTATAATTACACCTTGTAAATGCTTATTTGTGATACGTAGAGTGTATAAGCTTATTTATATTGATGTGTATATCTGTAAAACCCTTTTGATATTAATTAGCTAGGCCAAAAGATTTATTTCTAAATTTCCTAATTTTAAGGTATCATAGTAACATCGACTATATATATATAGATATAATCACACTAAGATAAATGATTGATGAGTTAGATAGAGGTATGTATGAGTATACCTGATGTAATAGCACATGAATGTTAGCATATATGTACATTAGATTACTAAAAGTATATGAAACTTTTTCACTGATAAAATAAGATTTTAATCTAATGATACACTTATTAGCTAGCTATTATTACAGGGTAAATTTTTTTTTTTTTTTGTTCACGTTGTATGTTCTAGTGTATTAGCATTTATGCTTTAATAAAGAAGATTTGTTTATTGGGTTTAAGTTATCAAACTCACTCATTGTAGAAGTTTTCTTAACAGGTTCAACTAGGTTACTTGGTGGATCATCGCTACAAAACTGGCTTTTAAACAATCATATTGCATTCAATAATTAAGTTTATGCTGTAGTTTTATTTTTACTTCAGTTTGATCTGAGTAGTTGTGCTAATATAGTTGTTGCTCCCACAATTTTTTTGTTACTCACTATTTTTCCTTCTTTGTTAAGCCATAACATGGCTTTATTAATATAATAAAATATTATTTACTTTTCATTGCTTATGCTTACTGTTTATAATTACTGGTGTATGAGTTTTTTTCTTTCTCGTACAAAATAGGTTCAAATAAATCTTAATTTTTGAAACTTATTTCAGTGATTGATGCCGTTCCCTTTGTTGTATCATGTGTTGCCGAGGTGTAGTGCCTTTTGGACCCAACTTTTGACACCCAACCCCTTGTATGGGCACAAACAGGTCAATTTTTAAAACTAATGTTTCCAAATTCTTAAAACTTATTCATGTATGGATGCTCAAATTTATCCTGGTGGCATTAAAAACATGGTTTTGATAACTTCGTATTAGAGAATAGAAAATTTCCTTAATATTTGCATCCTTGAAGTATAAACCATAGTTCTTTCTCTTCATTTTGGAAAATTGATATAATAATTGCATTTTCAGCTGGTAATCATAATTAGTCAATTCTTTGCTTATGTAGTGGAGAATTGGATGAATATGTTGAAAACTAGCTATATCTAATTCAAACATGGAGCAAAATAATAATAATAAGAATAATGAAAAAAAAAAAGACCAACACACAAAAACATAGGACCAACACACAAAAACATAGAATTTTTGTACAAGTTCACTCTATTGATGCTTTGGTTTGGTCATGTTGTTGCCACTATAGATTTCAGTATGGTTTGATTGTGGAGATTTATAGCCTTGATTTTTTTAGATACAATATAAAGAAGATGCCCCCTCTTTATCATAGCAAATCTAAATTAGCTTAATTTATGATAAAATCTCTAAAACACCCTTAATAAAAATAAATAAAATCATCCAAAATGCCCCGAATATAATAACCTGCAAAGAAAATGCATACTTGTTCACTACTCCATCTCGAAACCGATGCGAGGGAGCTCTCTAGCTCCCTACCAACTTTCTAGGAAACCTTAACATGAAGGACGGCTCATAACTAAATCTTCATAGCACATTTTCTTCGTAGGGCAAAATCCTAGGCTTCACAACTTAACAAAATAAAGCTCATGCACGCCTTAATTTGGTTATAAGTTTGATCAACTAGCCATATAATGTCGACTGAAAAGAAATCCACACAATGCCCATATATGTACATATCTAACACCTAAACTTTGATATTCACATTAATATCACTTTACCTTTGTATGAAAAGGTGTATTTTATTTTTTTTAAGTTAGTAATAGTGGTATTTTTTATTTGATATGAAAGATTTGGGTGTTAGAAATGTAAAAATCAAACTTTAGTTGTTAGATATGTATATTCATAAGAATTTTGTGGTATATATGCATATGACCCAAATAAAAAATAAATGGGATTATGTGTCATCATCATACCTTATTCCTAATAGCTGGGGAGTTGCTACCGAACCAAGTGTCCTGCCTCTCACTTTGGCAATGAGCAAAGCATGAATTTATAAATATCCCATTTTCTTTTGATAGCGAGAACTTTTCCACAATTCCAAGCATTTGATTCCTGAAGTCTATTATAGAAGGAAGATATTAAGAGCAACTTTTGAGTTAATTACTGCAAAAATTAAATTACAAAAGAAAAAAAAATTAATTACCTTGCAGAAATTGGATTTGACTTGTGTTGCATTTCGCATTATCCATCTTACAATCTTCCCAATAGCCTTGTGGATCAGCCACTTTGGTTGCCAGACTTTCTTGAAGCTGAAAACCAAGGGAGAAGACAGAAGCGGTATTTCAGGTTTTTATCATTTCCATTGGCTGACCATTTAGAAAATAAGGAGATTCATAAGGTTTTAAATGACAATTTACGCTTCATTCATAATAAATTCTCACTGGAAAAATGAAGTATTCAGCTTACAATAGTATGTTTTGTAGGATAGTGTTATACCTGCCATACATCATAAGCTGTATTTAATAGAAAAAGAGGAGTCTGAACATGGGAAACCACATTCTGTGGAAAGAAACACTGAAAAGAAACAAGGATGAATAATTATATTTATGAATCTTATGACTTATAACTACATATAACTTCTATAGATGAATAAATTACCAAAGTTGGATTCAAGTGTGAAGTACAGGTCGGTAAGTTCCTTGCCACCCCCTAGTTGTCCAATAAGTTAATGTAGTAAGGAAAGCTTATGAGGTAGTTATGAGAGTAAATGAATACTCTTCATACAAGTTATGAAATCCTTAAAGAACCATAAGTTGTTTTCTAAGCTCTAATAAGCGACTGTATAAGTACCTGTAACTTCACTACCCCTCCAAAGAATGATCTTAAGGTGCGGCGACCCGCCACATCAATACTGTATTGGACAAATAAAGCAGTCATTAGCCGGTTCAGATGATAATTTTCGCAAGAGATAAAGATAAATTTATGAATTATTTAGGAGCTATTTGATTGTCTGCATTATGGTTGTGATGTGAACCAAATGCACTTAATTTTAAAATCCGGGTGCCTAGTTAGATGTTAAAGATGGAATGCAACCAAATTTTTTGATGAATTTGGAACTTGTCCTTTAGCACAAATTTTATTGTGATTTCATTTGACCTCCAACCAAATGCAAAAAAATAATATGCTACTTATGTTTTCCAACAAACCAAATAATTTTAAAGTATTTCAAATACACGATATTTCAATTACACTGTATTCTTTTTTTCACTAATAAAAAAATCTCTTAAACAAAAACAGAAACAAAATATGAAGAAATCTAGGTGGCAAAATATTGAGATATACTTAGCAAATAAATAAACATGTAAGCTATAAATGAGAGTTTCATACGCATCAAGGAACATTCCTGCATCTGCAAGACACTTGACTCTTATGCTTTCCGGAAACAATGCTCGAAATTGATCACAATGGTGTATGGCTGCCATGCCGCCGGCAGAGCAGCCGGTAAGAAGTGCCTGAATACAGACCATGGTGTCACAGAAGGGAGAAAAATACTGAGACAAATCCACTGCAAAAGTGAGGAATTTAACCTGATTGGCATTACGCATTCCCTTCGACATTAACTCTTCCATAGCAGCTAACCAAATGCGATGACCACGGAAAAAAAGCCCTGCTGCCTGAAATGGAGCCAGCCAACTTAGGGATCTAGCGCGATTTGTTAATGACTCTTCATTTCTTTGGGAAAAAAATATTTTTTTAAGGGCATTTACATACATGCCATTCAATTCTTATGTATTTGCATATCTAACACCTAATTTTAATTTTTACATACATACCACCCACCCAAATCTTTTATATCATTTAAAAAATCCAACTATTTTAAATTTTAAAATGTCAAATGCACCATTTCATATATAGGTAAGATGACAAATCTGTAGGAATTGCAGTTTAAGTGTTGGGCTTGTAAATACATAACTACTTAGGCCCCGTTTGGGGCAGCTTAAAAGTGTGGGTGGCTTTTTGAAAACGCCGCCACACCGTTTGGTTAGCACTTATCACCAGCTTATGTAAAACAACTATTTTGAAAATACAAAAGACGCGGACCGCAGGCCTACCTCCGCGGTCCGCATTTTTCGAAATTAATTTTTCGATTTTGCCCCCTCTCTCGTGATTCCTCCTCCTTTTTTTCGCCCTCGTGACTATTCCCTTTCCCTTTTTTGCTTTCGCTCCCGTGACCTAGCCATTCGGTGGCTATTCCCTGCGGGACAACGCCGCACGTGGTTCGAGTTCTTCCGTTTCTACGATATCGCAGTCAGACAAGTTTGTTCAGGGTTCTGGAGTGTCAGATGCAGGTGACATGGGTCGTGATATGCTGCTACATTATAAAGTTAACATTATCATATTTTTTCCTATCATTTTAACATGTTATTTTTTCTTTTTTATGGGCTCTTATTATATTTTGTAGTAGTATGTGCTGGTGCATTTGACTTTTGTATGTGTAACATATTTGTTTGATGTGATCGGATATGTTTTAATTATATAAATATAAATCAACTTTTTGGTATTTTCTTGTCTGAACAGTGATATTTAATTTTGTTGAGAAAAAAATAAATTCTGCTGCACAGATTATTCATTTAATTAAATTTTTTTTTTCCAAATAAGCTGTTTACAAAACGCACTAACCAAACAGCTAAACTGCTTATTCAGAACAGAGGCAGAATGATCAATTTTCCAGAATCAGTTGTTTTCCACAAGCTCCAACCAAACAACTAGACAGCTTTTCCGGATCAGATGTTCATCAGCAGATTATCAGGATAAACTGTTTATCAGCAGAAGCTGGATAAGCTGCAGCTGCCCCAAACAGACCCTTAGTTGTATGCATGTAAATTTTCCTTTTTTTTTAATTAGCTATAAATGCATTTTCCATTAAAGAAGAAGCGTGAAGAAGGATGTCATACGTCCTAAGAAATCACTCATTCTAAGAGTGGTTGCATAAAAACAATGTTTGACTTTAGAGCTTCTCATGAAATATCAACAGTTAAACTAAAAGATGTCTTGATATTTAACTTAACAGTTTTAAGATTTCTTCTAGTTAAGTAACTGACATCCTTGTTAGTGTTTTTAACCAAAAATTACCCATTATGTAGAGGGGATTCTAGAGTTGATCCGTGATTCCTATAATTTCAAGAGGTGGCTTTCATGTAACATTTTGTTATATTTAGATTCAAGAGGTGGTTGTCATAGTGCAACACTTTATTTTATATGACATTTAGTTTCCATCTTTAGGTTGTTGTAAAGTTCATAATTCTGACACTATTTGTAACAGCCTGAACTCTTAACTTATCGAGATATTATCAACTTTGGCTACTAACCTCACTATTTTGTCCAATTATTAGTATTCTTAATCCAAAGTATTCTATAATGCAGAAACTAGATAGAATTCTAGAGGTGGTATGTAGTTCCTATTAAATCAAGAGGTGGCTCTCATCATTTAACATTTTGTTCCATTCAGGATAAGCAGTGGCACTTAATTTTCATATTTAGGCTAGTATAATATTGTAATACTATTTGTAACAGTCCCGACTATCACTCATTTTGATGTTGCCCTTTTTGGCCTAATAACCTCACGATTTTGTACGAATGGTATAACTTTCAATAAGATCTCCCATTCCAGAAGTACTCTCATAAAAACATGCTTAATTTTGAATTTTTTTCAATAAAATTGCAACCATTACAACAAAAAACACTTTTATAATTAAGAATTCAGTTTAATACTACTCAAGAAGTTTCACAACCATACCAGTGATAAAACATCAGATGGACAAAGGAAGAATAAAACATAAAAAAAACTAATACTAACCCTGTCATAGCCTTCGCCAAGGAAAGACGCACCATCACAATAGCGAACCTTAACTCTGTTCCAGTTATAAAAATCTGTATTTTTTAAAAAATTTTAGTTTTGCCATAGATTCTTAAATGGAGAAACTTTAGTTTAAGGTTGAAAAACCCACCTGGGTTTTCCTCAGCTTTATCGCTCAGAATTCCAGTGAATTGTAGCTGCTTCTCCATGTAGTATGATGAACCTCGGTGAGATTTCTTGCGGTAAAGGCATGATTGGATATCATTGCACCAACCTCCTCCCTGACGAACTCATTGAAACCAAAGTAATGTTTTTTTTAGAATAAGACAAATTTGTAAGAAAATATGCTAGGGCATTTACATACATACCACACAAATCTTATTTATTTACATATCTAACACCAAAACATTCATCTTTACAAGCATACCACTCATATCTTTAACATCAAATAAAAAATACCACTCATGCATGGGTTTACGATACCGGTGTGTTATAAATGTAAGTAACAAACTTTGGATGCTAGATATGTAAATACCTAAAATTTGTGTGGTGTCAGGTATGTATGTAAATTACCCAATATGTTAACGTTTTATGCATTATGGGGGAAAAGTGCATCAGATAGTTATAAGTTCATCAACAGTTTCAACATGAAAAGTGATGTAAATGAATTAGAGTTTGAGTTTGTAAAACTGTCTTGTGTTTTTTTTTCTCTTCTAACCTCTAATTGGACAAGCCAACTGTGTGCTCCAGATCCAAACCCACGGTGAAGGTGGTAACCAGGTAAGCTGCCATCCATGCATACTGCATCAATCAAAATGAAGTAATTAGTCGGCAGATGATTGTGAAGTTTAGATAACATTTGTTTATTTATTTTCACTACAAATATCAAATTATAACAATGAAATTGCAAATCATTGTATGTACGTAAATATCTAACTTCTAAACTTTCAATTTTTACATGCATGCAACATCATCTATGCATAAAAAAGTGAGCTTGAGTTCGAACGGTTGCATTTTTGATGTGATATGAAGATTTGGTTGGTATAAATTTTTAAAACTGAAAGTTTAGATTTTGGATATGTAAATATATAAAGAATTGGGTGGCATATATGTAAATGCCCCCAAATGTTGAACAGAACTCCCAACGATAATAGTAGCAGATTGATAGAACAACAACAAAACAGTTTTAAGAGATTCATGTACTGCATCTAAAAAAAAACACCCACTCTATATCATGATTTTTCTTACAAATTCAGATAAAAAACATTTTTTTGCAGGAGTTTCAGAAATTTAGATGTTTGATCTGATCAATTTACAATATAATTGAAATTCATTCTCTAGTTCATTTTCAATACATTTGAAATTCATCAGAGTTGGGCGAATTCGGCTACACTAATGAATTCCCACTACTCTAGTTTGCGTTAAGTGATGCATGGCACCATCATCGATGCCCGTAGCTCATAGTCTGTCAACCACCATCTGTTGCCCCTCGCAGCCCGCTGGCGCTGATTGCTGCTCGAGGCCCGTCGCCCCTCGTTCTATTGATTTCATTTTTCTTCAAATTAAATAAAAAATATAAAATCCTGCATTTATTTTAGTGAATTTCTTTTTCACCAAACCAAACAGCCCTAAAAAATATCATAAATCACTATCACATACGAAAAAAGAAAAATATAGGAAAGCAACAAAACCAGGTAATTCAAAAAGGGAGCAGCTCAATTACAAGCTCCAGTGGCAGCTGCAGCTGGAATTAGAGTGAGAGGGACGAAGAGAGGCGGGAAGCCGACAGGCATCTCATCATCAGAAACCCTCTCCCTCTCCCTCTGCGTCAGATTTAAGTTCTCCAAACCGAGAGCAGATCCCACGAACAACAGAAGAATGAAGCCAGAAACACACAAAGAAGCCATCATGGCTTCCGATGGGATGAAGATGAAGCACAGAGAGAAACTCTTAATTAGAATTATACATAAAGAGAAAACAATGGGAGAAGGGAGTTTAAGAATCTGCGCGGCGGAAGCAATGGCGAGTAAGTTCTACAAAAACGGAAGCGGTTACAGCTAGAGTGTTTACTTTCTTGCAATGAAAATGGAGATTTGTCATTTATGAGAAGAGTAAAGGGTAGAAGGAAAAGGAGGAGGAGGGAAAACGGAAGCGAAGCCGCGCCAACCATTTTTTCTTTTCCTTTTTTATTTGTCGGGCCATTTAAATATCAGTAATACTAAAATATATTCTGCACCGACGGCCAATCATTGATCTCCACGTCTCCCATTGATGATTGGCTGTCCAGAGTACTATTTCCAAATGGAATTTTTTCTCGAGTAATAGAGCTGGAAAAGCTAACATATGTCCCACCTACATTTTATGTATTTAGATACATAACATGCAAATATTTAATATCACATCATAATAAGAATTGAGGCTAGTTTTTCAACTAGAGTGCAAGAGTGCAAGCTTGGGACTTATCTCCAACAATATGGAGGCGTTTTCTTAAATGCACAATTATAAGCCCCATCATCATGCAAGAAGGCTTGTTCAAATCTACCCACTTCAACCAACCAACATGAATTCTTCTATTAATAGCCCCATCTATGTCACCATCGTTCAAACCAACCGACCCGAGATACCTAAATCATTCACACATCTTAATGATTTGATCACCCAAAGTTACATTTTTGTCACTATAGCTAATACTACTAAAATTACAATCCATGTATTCAATTTTAGTTCTACTCTAACGAAGGCTTTTAAACTCCAATGTTGACCTCCATAATTCAAGTTTTTCCCGGGCTTTTTCTCTTTTCTTATCCACGAGTTTCTTATCCACGAGAAGATATCATCAGCAAAAGGCATACACCAAGGTGCATCCTCCTGTAAATGTCCAGTAAAACCATCTATAACTAAAGCAAAGATAGATGGGCTATGTAAGTATCTTTAATAGAAATATTTTTCTTTGCCATGGACAATTTATATGTCTTTTGTTCTCAAGAGACGTTAGAAGTGGGGGAGCTAGCACATACTAAAGCTTTTGATGCACATGCATGCAAATATGAAAACTTTTGACACAATAATAGTGCTAAACTCATCTTTATTATAGGTGCCTCCAAATCATATTTACACATCCATCTCATGCATAATTTTTTTTCCTTTTTTCATTTTTTAAAGTATATTTTTACTGACTTAATAACAACTTTTTTGGGTTTGCATAACAATTGAGGGAGAAAATTATCAATCCAAAATTCATTGCAATTGTTTCACTATTGCTAACATATGTCATGAAGCGATGAAAAATTATAATTTAGAACTTATGGTGAATCTTGCCTTGCTTTGGTATAAATGGTGTCCATAGCAGGTATTAAGAGCAATTATACTGAGATGTAGTGTTTGGTCTTACATGTTAGATCTTTGACTCATGTAGAAAAATAAATACATAAATACACTAGGATTTGCTTAGAAGCTATTGATTTAACAAATGATGAACTTGATGAGTGTTATGGAAATAAGATGACATCAACACAAATCTGTTAGCATTGCAATTGAGAGTGGGAGCCTCTCTTTTGGAATAAGGAATCTTTGGAAAAAGCTCAATAGTTTGATGGCCTATAAAACATATCTTTAGATGGAGCACAATAAATGAGCTTAGATGTGGGGAGAGAGCAACAAAGTTAATTTCCTTTTGTGGATGTCATAATTCGACGTAACGTATTGCGCTATTATGAACATGTTGTTAAGACGGTTTAAAAGCTTATTTGGTTCAGATATTGTTTTAGTTTGACAAATATGTTAAGACGGTCCAAAAGCTCATTTGCGTCAGATATTATTTTAGTTTGATAAATATCGATTTTTGTCAAACTAAAACAATATTTGACGTAAATGAGCTTTTGAACCGTCTTAACAACATGTTCACAATAGTGTAATACGTGACGTCGAATTATGACATCCACACAAAAAAATTTAGGTGGATAAAATTTAACAAATCTCTTATAAAATCTCTGCAATTTGAACATCTTGTTCGTTGCACGCAATACCCATTACCATGATGAAAGAAATGGAACTTGTTAAATTCAAGTTGTACTCCGATAGACGATACAAAGTAACTCAAATAATGGAGCAATTTATCGTTTGATATCATGACCAAATAATCATTGGCGATCGAGCTATGGGGCGAGTTTGTATAACACAAAATAATAATAATAATAATAATAATAATAATAATAATAATAATAATGCCAACACATTCGCGGGAGGGAATATAGTCATTATGTATGCCTACAAAATGTATAAACTAAACATTAATGGAATAAAATTTCCTTCAGAAAAAAGATAAATTAATACATGTCCCAATGGTCTATAATAGCCCAGAGGGCATCTTCCACTAAAACTCAAAAATATGAGAAGAAGAAGACTTAAAACCTTGTAACCCTTTAACCACTATAGAAAATGAGACTATTTCCGACGGCCTAATGACTGTCAGAAACTATATGAAAACCGTTGGTTTTTTATCTTCTTACGACGTAACTATGGCTTTGAGGACGTAGTTAAAATTGTTGTGTGTAATTCTTTATTTTGGAAGTATAAACGTACACACTACTCAATTATTTATGTATTTACATATCTAACATATGAACTATAATTCTTACAGACATACCCCCTTACCTATGCATAAAATACGTGTTTCACTTTTAGAAAGTTATAATCATGATATTTTTGATTTGATATGAAAGATTTGGTTGTTAGAAATATAAAGTTAAAATTTAGGCATTGGATATGTAAATACATAGGAAATGGGTGGTATGTTCCAAAAAAATATATTATGAAAGCATCCAAGACTTTGTTATATACAAATCTAACACCCTCTTTTATTCATTTTTCAAACAGTCACTTAAATATCAAAATTCATGATAAAACACCAATTAAAATTTTTCATTTATTTTTATTTTTTATCAAATTCTCAATGATTTGATCGTGTCACACCTAAAGACATCAGTTCCACAGTTCAAAAATTTTGCCTCATTGCTTGATTTTACACTTGATTGCTTGATAATTTTGTATTTTCTTAAATCGCACTAAACTAACGGTTCAATTTACATAAAAATTTATATGAAAGATTGAATCAAAATTACCTTTGATTTGACTATCTGAAATCGCGATTTGGTGCACCACAAAGAAAAATCCAGGAAATAGGGTTCAGCGTTTGCGAGAGGTGGGAGGAGAGTAAATGAGAAAATTTTCATGTTGGTCCACTATTTAAAGACTTTCGGATGACTTGCGCCGCAAACTCTGACAATTATTTATTACTTAATAATCGACGGGTGTAGTCGTTGGTTGCTATGATATGACAGTCGACTTATAACACAATTGACTATATTTTTTTACGACGATCTATGATCATCTGTTTATAATTTACAATGAAACAGTAGAATTAAATTGTCCGTTTGTCTTCAAAACCCATTGAAAAAGGCTTTTACTAAATAGCTAAGGCTTTAGGAGTTGGAAATTCGTCGAAAATCAAGCTTCCCAAATTCCGTTGATAAACAACTAGAATTCAACTCGATATTTCCGACTCAAGTAAAATCGTCGATTATCCTGTCGGTATTAGTTGTTTTCCCCATAATGTATCATGAGATGAGGGAGTTTATTTGTACGAAACATATCTTGTTCAAGTGGATAAAGGACAACAATTAAAATTAGTTCATATTTTAATACGAAATAATTATCATTGAATACTACTTACTCTTGTGCGCATTACATATACATATTATTACACTATTATTTATAATACTAAATTGTCCTTCACAGAAACACAATTTGGCTAGGAGCAAATGGACCTCCTGCAATAAAAAAAGTTGATTAATGTGTAATTTTGTTAAGAATCAATTATTTTTATCATTCTCTTATTTATTTCATAGCCGTTCTTCAAAATTACAAAGAAAATTAGAGAATTAAATGTATATCTTGAATGCACTAAGTTTAAACCCATCAATTAAGTTCAAGATGAACACACAAGCTTGGTTTAGGACAAACTCATTCGGTTGAGCTCAATGAAAACTCGCCAAATGGATTCAAAGCAAACTACTCATTGGAATTAAGGCTAACCTTCTAGCATGGATTTAACCAAGACTTGGTCACCAAAATCATGAAGAACTTGCCAAATCCGCCAAACATAATGATAGTCAACCAAGCAAAAAAGCTATTCAATGACCTTTACTAGAGCAACCAACGACTTCCGCTCAACTTGATTGATCGAGTACTAGTCAAAATTTCAACATTACATGCCTCCTATATTTTATAGTAACTAATGGGCCTAGCCTTGTATGCATGTGCATATTCTATTTGCATTTCATATTGTGCTCCAACCCTAATCCTTATTTATAAATAGATATGTTCATGGTGATGATTAAGTTTATGCAATTTTGTGCACTTAAGCCTTGATTATCGTTCCATTGAACTTATAGTGAAGTTTCTCCCTACTCTCACTTATTTTATTGAATTATATTGCTCGTGGGATTATTCAACCTTCTTCAAACTAATTATTATGAGCCTTTGAATTAAGCATTAATTTTTTAATGATTGGTTGTCATGTTCACTCATTAATTGCAGGCTCAGTGATGTAAATAGAAAGATTTGTACAATTTGAAAAAAAAACTATAACAAAAGAACAAATAGTCAATTTGAAAAAAAACTTATTGTCAGCATCTTTCAGATATGAATCTATGTGATTCAGAAGGGAATAACTTGTATCAATATCTCAGTTTTAATTCAAACATTAGTTTGGTTCACACTCTACATTCTGAGAAGTATTTATCATTTGAAAAGAGATAAAAAAAAATAGAATTTGTCTAAAAAAATGCTTTAAGAATGTGAGAAAATGCTACTCCTTTAATAGTTATTAAATTGAGCATTTGGGCCATTGCTTTCTCATCCAAGCTTGCTCTTAACAACTCAAGACTAAGATGTTTTCATATTGGCTTTAGAATCTTTAGTGTCAAATGTATCATGCCTTCTATTTTGAACTCTAACATTGACTTCTTTGGCTAAATTATTGCTATGTGGAAACAGAGTTGTGGGGCTCATGCTTCAATTTTTCTGCCTTTTTTTCTTCTTTTAGTCTGACTAAAGTGAAGTTGGTGCACTGCCAAAATCATAATTTTAAGAAAAAATTATATCTAGTTAGTTTTCACATAATATATATGGCATGCTTAATCCTAATTATTTTTTTATTTATTTCCATATTTAATGGTGAATGGAACAAATTTATTCTTGCATATTAGAAAAGGAAAAAATGGTAACAAATATTCATAATTTTTATTTTGTATCCATTCTTATAATATTGAACTCCAAACTAAACATAAAAAAAAAAAAATTAATTTTATGCATCACCAAACACACCAAAACTACATTGAAATCCAACTTGATGTATTATGAGTAAGCAATAAAGTCAAGTAAACTGCACTGATTTCAACAAAAATTATTGACAACATCAATAAGATTCCTCCAATAAACAATATTAAAGAAATAGGCATTTACATACATACCATTCAACTCTTATGTATTTACATATCTAACACCAAACTTTTACTTTTCGCATTTATACCAACCGTACCACGATTTCAACTTTTGAACAGTGAAATACAGCTTTTGTGTATTTATAAGGTGGTATACACATCAAGTTTAGCTGCTAGATATGTAAATACATGGGAAGTAAGTTGCATGTATGTAAATCTTCAGAAAAACAGAGCAGAAACAGCATAAGAAATTACTTAGCATAATGTCAGAATTCATTAATTGGAGCATGAAATGCAATCCCAAACTTTTGCCAACGCTAGTGGGTACCAACTAATGTGATTGATAAATGTCTTAAAAGTTATTGCTAAAATCTTAAATTCGATTCTCGGACACAAAATTATGAACTCCACCTTGCTGATTTTTGGGTGCGCTAAACAAAAATAAGCCAATGGACTCAGCAGGATACAGTCAGCTCGCCGCCACAGGAAGCTCGCCAGAATTTACAATCCTACAAGGGCGTTTTGGGACATCGGACCTGCTGGTTTCCTCCGACTCGATCTTCTTCACCACCTCGATTCCTTCTAACACGTGTCCAAAAACGACGTGGCGGTTGTCGAGCCAAGGAGTCTGTTTTAGACACCAATGGAGGAAGTCAGTACGATGTAGTTCCGTAATAAGGGAAATTTGCAGTAATACCATGCAATTCTTATGGATCCGCATGGCAAAACACTTAATGTTTGATATTTACATTTATAACAACTTGGTGCTATAAACCTATGCATAAAAAAGTGCATTTGACTTTTAAGAACTTGGTAAAAGCGGTATTTTTAATGAGAAGTTAAAGATTTGGGTGTTACGAATGTAAATGTTGAATTTTAGGTGTTAGAGATGTAAATTCATAAGACTTATGTGGTATGTATGTAAATGCCTCTTGGATGAATAGGCTACCTACCTTTGACATGCAAGTTTTCGCAATATTGTTAATATTCAAATTTCAAATTCTAACGCAAATATTGAAATCATGATAGAACTTCAAACTTATATCTTACACTTATATCAAATTCTGAATCGGTTAGATCATGGCATATGAAAATACAAGATTTTGAAAGGAATGAAGTGTCAAAATAGTCCTCTAACTATTTACATTGGGACATTTTCGTCCCAACGTCTATAAAAGTGTCAAATTAGTTCCCAGGCTCGAACTATTTCAGCCTCTATTACAATAGTTCAGGGCAAAATTGACACGTTTCTATATAGTCTGGGACTAAAATGGCTCCCAACAAAAAATCAGTACCATTTTGACACTTCTCACATTTTGATAGTTTGAAAAAAAAAAAAACTTGGTGTTAGTTTTGAAAAACTAATGAAGATTCAATGTCATGTGCGTAAATACCTAGTAAATGAAATGATAAACATCCTAATTTACTTTACTATCTTGAATGTGCCAAAAAAAAGCGATAAGAATAAAGCATAACCGAGGATTCCCTGCTCAATAACGTGATAAAGGTGATGGTATAAAAGAAGAGGGCAGGGGTTTCAATGGTATAATTTTACATACATACCACCCAATTCCTATGTATTTACATATCTGACATCTAAACTTTATTTTTTACATTTTTACCAAAAGAATTCTTTATATCATATAAAAAATATCACCATTTTAACTTTTAAAAAGTGAAAACTGTTCATGCATAGGTAACGTGCATGCATGTAAAAATTGAAGTTTAGGTGTTAGATATGTAAATACATAGGAATTAAGTGGAATGTATGTAAATCTTCCTTAAAAAAAAGTAGAAAATAAGATTCTGGTAAGCAGAGTTTATATTATCACAAATGGTAACTGTAGACATTTAAATCACCAGAAATTATAGAGAGATACCTTCACTGTGCATATAAAAAATTGGCTTCCATTAGTACCAGGGCCTGCATTAGCCATGCTCAAGACTCCAGGTCCAATATGCTTCACTGGAAGAACCAAATGCTATATCAGTGCAAGAAGTAAAGCAAACTACAACCTACTTCCAAATTAATATCATCTTTACTAAAATAAGAAATTTATATATGAAATACTCAAATTTAGGTCAAAGTAAGATTGTACAAGGCGGCAAGACCTAAGAAAATTGGACCAGATTGATATATAGATAGTAAGATAGAGTTAGACTACTATTCCGTTTTTAATCATTTGGACACTTAATTTCACCTCTTTGAAGCATTCATACACCTCCTTTTGAATAATTGGAATTTAAAATATCATGCTCATTTTTCAAATCCTAATATGCCAAATTTAAAAAGGTAATAAATGTTTCAATACTTAAACAATAAAAAATAAAGATGAATGGTGTAAGATCTATAAGGATAAGGGGGCATATTTATGGAATATTTGAAGTAGATTTAAGCAATGTTTGAGTAAGGTTATAGCAAACTCAGGCAAGGCTCGAGCAAATTTGAAACCAAGTTTGAAGGAACTATGTTCAAAAAAGAAGATTTAAATAAAAATCTTATAAAGTTTGAACAATATGTAAAACAAGTAAAACTAGTTCTATTCTAACCATTTGAATGAGATTCGACCTCATTTTCAAAACATGTTAAAAATGTTCTAGAATGGTTAGAACAAGTCTTGAACATGGTTTCAGACCAAATTTGAACGTGTTTGAAAATAAATTCAACTTAAGTTTGAATAAGCATATGATACAACATCATTCAAACTTTATGATTCAAAAAAGCATTCAATCTCCATGAAAATTGCCTCAATTCATTACACAATTATTTGGATGATTTCAATATTACATAATTGCTTCGATAATATGATACAGCAACATTCAATATTCAAAAGCATTTACCCATAAATGTCGGGGTCCCCATTAAACTATGTTGTTTAATCCAACTTAACCATTGTGGTTTTCTTATCGCAGGAAATAAAAAAATATTGAAATAAGGATGGTAAAATTGGCACTGAGTGGCCAATTATGGCGATTAAGGGGCATATAAAGTTATATATATATATATATATTGATGCAGTCACACATAGATATATTAGCACATAAATGCATTAAATATTATAAAGATCATGAACATAAGAATAATTTAAATCATGTGGAACATTCATAACATGTAATATTATTATAATATGAAGTTCTAATGTCATTTGTTATATTAATATGCATTTTGAACTACGCATTTTTATAATTTATATTGTGTCCTATATATTATTTTTTACGCTTAAATAAGTATCGATTATCCATTGAATTTATATGTTAAGATCAAGTGGTTAACTTTTTTTAGCAGATTCCACCAGATTGATTAGTAAACCATCACTAAAAGAGTATATCATTCAACAATTATTATTACTAGATGCAATATTTCTGTTTAAGATATAATTCTTTGTTTGGACTTCCGTTGGATTTTGGTTTAGTTATTACATTTGTAGTTGGTTTTCTTCTTTCTTTTCCATTAGTTGATATTTTGTTTTCTTTGATAAAATATAATTAAAGGTTCTATTGATGCAACAAAATATTAGTTCTTACATTTATGTACATACATGTTCTCGTACACATAATCATTATGGATACTTTTGCCTTAAATAAAAAAAATGTATTATTTTGTCAGGACTCTTGGGGCCTATCTCATGAGTTGAGACCAAATTTCATCATCGAGTTTTGTATTGTCAGAATATACCAGCTTCCAGATGCAAAGCTCAAAATGTTGCAAACTTATTTTTGAACCTCATCTCTTCTCATGTCAATCGTCAATATAAGGAAACTTTGAACTTCAATACCACAATGAAATTCAACCCAAAAATGCAATCCAACATGAATCATGGATTATAAATGGGTCAGCCCAACCGAATCTTAGTTCTAATCCACTTAGAAGATCAATGTTAGGGCAGGGCAGGGCCAAAAGGAACCAACTTTTACCTGATGATAGACTTATGCAATCAGCGCTGATAATACTTAAATTGGCTATGCTAGAGAAAAAAAAAGCATAAATTATAAAAACATACTTTAAGATAATACAAAGCAATTCTGATGCATTTCTTATGGATGCTAAAAAAAATGTAAAGGAACATATTGGTGGATCCCAATGAGGCATCTGAGAGAAAATAGAGAAGTTATTTAAATGCCGCCAAAAGACAAACAAAGAACTATATCAAATCTAAATAATGTCCTAAACCAAAATTGGCATGATAAAGTACAAATAAGTGAGAGTAAATTAAGAGGAAAATGTGCCCGTGTCTAAGTAAATGGGCAGCATAATCTAAATAAAAGATGTAGAAATTAAGGACCGGATAAATTAAGTGTTTACAATTAAAGTTCTCATCATCAAATTGTCGTCCATAAATACTTTTTCCTCCGGTTCCCTGCAAAAGATCCAAACAGATAGCTTTTAGCTGGCATAACTACCTTAACAACGCCACATATGGCAAAAAGATCTCATTAAACTAACATTCCAAAACTATTCCTCCCATGAAGACATTTAAATAAGAAACAACAGCATACAATCAATTTACATAATTAAAGTTGTGAAACAAGCTATTTGTCTGTTGGAAGCAAAAACAAAGAGTGGTGCTGAAAATATGCATCAAATCATGTTGGAATATAAAAAAAGACTTCTTCGTTAATCTTTTATGGCTATTTTAACTTTATTTTAAGAAAAATTTTGATGTGTCATTTAAATAATGACAAAGTTCAAACACATTATAAATGAATGAAAAAAACAATCACTTAATCACAGTGAATTCCATTTCAAGGCATAAATACGCCAGCCAAAATTAGAAACATGATACAAAAACATCTTCCACGAACATTCATCACTTCATTCAGAAAAATATTAAAGTTCTTCTAAAGAAGTTGCAAAAACAGCTGAAGGAACTTTTGGTTTGGTGAAACTTAGAAATTAACTGTTCACATGTAAAGTAACTTCTCTTTTGCATTGTAATAGAACATTTTTAGTTTATTTTCTACACAGATTTACTGCTGCATTTACCTCGCATTAGTTTTTAATATACAGTACATAAACTTAAAATAATCCCTTGATTATTTGCAGGGGTCATTTTAGTCCCATAGTCTATAAAGTATTTAGTCCCAAACCTCTATTAAATAGTCCAACAAAGACTATTTCAGCCGCAATTTAAAAAAATCTAGAGACAAATTTTACAAATTTATACTCTGGGACTCAAACGATCCATTAAATAGTTAGATGATTATTATGACACTTTACTCCAGTACATAATATGCATGGAAAAAAAATGCTGCATTTGCTTTGCAGCGTTTGTCAAAAATTGCCCTTTATTTGCAGCGAAGTAAGAAAACACTAAGTTAAACCTTACATTGCCACGCTCAAAGTCTCCTCCTTGAATCATGAATTCCTTAATAACACGATGAAAGGAGCTTCCTTTATAGCCAAAACCTTTCTCTCCTGTATGCAAAAGACCAACTAGTTATCAAAAAAAAAAAAAATGACAATACAGATGACAATACAGACGAATATGGCCTTTGGAAGAGCAATAACAGTAGGAAGTCTCACCAGTGCATAGGGAACGGAAATTCTCAACCGTTATAGGAACATCATCTCCAAAGAGACCAATTACAATCCTACCCGAAGTCTCGCCACCAATTTCTATATCAAAGAAGCACTTATGGGTTACCTTAGCCTGAAGCTCAAGAACCTGGGAAAACAGGCAAACCATGTTGAAGACTTAAATAACAATTATGAGGATAGAGAAATTGAAAAAACAAAAGAACATACATTCTGTCATATATCTAAGAGAGCCTTTACAGTGTACAATGATAAGGTATTTATACAGGATAACAAAAGAACATACATTCTGTCATATATCTAAGCGAGCCTTTACAGTGTACAATGATGAGGTATTTATACAGGATAGCAAAAACGGGAAGGACTAGAAAGGTCATAGCACTTTTTGAATCAAACGGTTACTATGAGATTACACTGTTCAAGATCAAATGTGATCTGGGGACCTTAGTATGGGTGGTTAGACTGCTGTCCATGTTGACAAAGAAAAGAAAGTGATTAATCTTTATCATGGCTATGAGAGCCTGATGTCTGTTGATGGGAAGCTATTTGATGAAGACATCTGCAATTTGATCTTGGATCATGATGTGATGACAATGATCTCATTGGATTTTATGAGGTCTCTGATAAAGTGATAGTCTACTCCTATGCATTTCATTCTGGCATGAAATGCTGGGTGGTGGGTAGAAGTTTCGCAGAGATGTTGTAATATATTAAGGTGGGTTAATTGCGTGAAATGTCAAATTTTTGAAGTAGACAGAGCCATATGATTTCTGTAGTGGCAGTCGCAAGAGCCCGATACTCTACTTCGGTTGAGGAATATGCTACAGTTTGTTCTTTCTTGGGTGCCAAGAAGATGATTGTGTCCTCAAGTAAAGAGTAGTAACCAGTGGAAGATGTCTTGTCGGTCGGATTGCCAATATAGTCAAAGTCAACATATGAGCGGAGAATAAGGGGTGTGTTGTTGGTCAGAATAACATGTGAGACAATCCCTTTGAGGTAATGAAGGGCTCGATTAAGGGGTAGGGAGTGGAGGAAAGGTTCGTGCATATGTTGGCCGAGATGGTTGATTGCATGGGTGATATCCAGGCAAGTGATAATAAAGAATTACAAAGATCCTATGAGATGGAGAAATTGAGGAGGATCTGAGAATGGTAGAGAGAAGTCGGTGTGGTGATGTTTGGTTGGTAAAGGTGGAGAATGGACTTGCAAGGGATCGTACCTGAGGTTTGCAGAATGTTAGTGAGATAATCGGGTTGATGAATGAAGTAGCGTTGTAGGGTGGATTGAATTTGGAGTCCTAGGAATTGAGAGATGTCGCCCGGATGTTTAAGGCTGAAGGTTGTGCAAAGGCTGCGAATAAGATTAGTAACAGTGGGTTTGTGGTTGTCAGTGATGAATATATCATCGACGTAGAAGAGGAAGAAGAAGTGAGTATAGTTATGGTGGTATAGAAAAGATGGGGCTATGGAACTCATTCATCTTCTCGGTCGATGAGTTTCAAACGTGCATCCTGATGAAACCACCGGTGCAAACGAGGGGATTAGTACAACCCCGTCTTTTGAATTTTTGGCCCAAGAAAAGAAAATGTACATTTTACTCTTGAATTCATAGGGGAAAATCGCAAAAAGCCACCTAACCTAGCCGACTTCTCTCTATGCACAAAAAACCTAACATAAATTCTCTAACACAGACCTAGGGGCTCTAGAACAAGAAAAACAAGAGTTTAGAAGACTTTCACCTTCGCGATGGTTTGATCAAAGCCTTCTCCTTGCTTGTCCAAGCGCCGACGTTGCTCTGGGGAACTTCGCTCCGCTCCTTCCCCAAAGAGTGAGGAAGCTCTCCTCTACAAGGAGAGGTGAAGCTCTCCTTGCTCCTCCAAGAGATTCCCCCACACGCTCAAGAGAAATGCTGGAGGAAGAAGGAGGAGGTAGTGCAAGAGAAAATTTTGGTGAAAGAAGGAAGAGTGAGGGCTCAAGGTAAGGAGGAAAAAGCTTCCCTTTACTCCTTGCCAAAAACTCCTCTCCAGCTCTCCAACCAAGCTTCTCCTTTCTCAATAACTCTCCACCTCAAGAAGCTAGCAAAAAAAACTCCAAGCCCAAAGAACTCTCCGGAGAAGAAGATGATGAGGAGGAAGAAGAAGAATTCTTCTCACCTTGCCAAAAGCTTCTCCAGACTTTTCTTTAGCCTCTAGAGAAGAAGCTCCAACCTTGGTCGAAGATCCCAAGCCCCCTCTTCAAGAAATCAGTGTAAGTGGCAGGAAAATGGAGGAAGAAGAAAAATAAGAGTAGAAAGAGAACCCTAGCTCCCAAAATCCCCAAATCTGATCTCCTCCAGCCTTTTTTGGTTTCCCCCTCTTTTTGTGAGGCTCAAGCCTCACTCCATCCAAAAAATCGGCCTCAAGGGCCCACAAAAATCGGGATCAGAAAATAGGCTGGCGCCTAGGCGTTGGATCCTAGCTCTTAGACGTTGGGTTGGGCGCTTACTTTCTGATCGCTCGGGTTTGTAGTTATTTTTGGGCTGTTTCGGGCGTTTAGACTCCCGAGATTGGTGTTGGGGCGTTGGGGCGTTGCGTCTGGCGCCTAGGCGCTAGAGCCTGACACCGGGTTTCCAGGGGCTCAGTTTTGTGCTCCTGGCCTATTTCAGGGCCTAACGTTGGGGTGCCAGAACCTAACATAGGAGTGTCAGTCTGCCACGAAAACCTCAATTTTCGCTGAAATCGTCTGGCAAAAGGATTTGATTTTCCATAAGCTATGAGGAATCAAATATGACTAAAATATAGTCTCATAATTTCGAAGATAAGCTGTCTTATGGGCCTAGCATTAAGGATTTCAATGCCAATGGGCAGCTCAAATGATCGTGCAGGTATGACATTCTAAACCCTAATCTCCCCAGAAACTCCCAAGGGAAGGTTTAACAAATTTCTTTGACCACGGGAGGCTTCAAATAGGCGGAGTAAGATTTTCAAACATTAGAATAGACATCAGACATATCTCATATCATAATTGATGCCACTAAATGGTAGACATTTGGTGGACTCTCCAAGGCAAGGTTGAATCATCACAAACCTAGTTTAGTGCCCCAAACACACGCTAGGGAGCCTAGATGGATGTCTTGAGCTACGGGACACTACGATGAACAGTAAATAGTTTTGAGTCATTCAAGTGGACATTCTACACGTGTGACATCAAAAATTGATGCAAACAAGAAGCCATCATCCAGAAGAACCACAGTGGCGATTGTCGACCATTTTGGCACAAATAAAACTCTCGCACTCTTGAGCGAACATTTTTTTTGGCCCCGACTAACATGAGATGTAGAGAAACATGTCCGACAATGTAAGATTTGTCATACAGTCAAAATATGCAGCCAAAAACAAGATTATACACACCTTCACCAGTCCCTAAAGCGCCCTGGGTGAATGTGAACATGAACTTTATTGTAGGACTTCCATGCACACAAAGTAATAAAGATTTTGTCATGATAGCAGTTGATTATTTCTCAAAATTGACGCATTTCGTTGCCTGCCACCGAACATTAGATGAACCTCATATTGCCGATTTGTACTTCCGCGAAATCATTCGACTTCATGGTATTCCCAGGACTATTACTTCTGATCATGACGTTAAACTTTTGAGCCACTTTCGGCGAACCCTCTGGAGCAAATTAGGCACTAAACTCCAATTTAGATTTGCAGCACATCCTCAACTAGATGGTGAATCTTCTTCGATGCTTCGTAGGGAAAAAACATCAAATAATGGGATCTCGTCGTCGCTCAAGCCCAATTTGCTTATAATAGATTAACAAACCAGACCATTTGAAATTGTGTGCGGTTGAAACTCGATCACACCCCTTGAGTTGGTCCCAGTTCTACCCCCACAGTGAGGATGCTACAGAACGTGCTTACCAAATTCAGCAAATCTACAAGAAAGTTGGAAAGCAACTTTAAGCAAAACCACAAATATCAAGCACAGGCTAACAAATCCCAAAAAAAAAAAGTATACTTTAAAGAAGAAGACCTCGTCTGGATCCACCTTAAGGAGTGATTTCCCGTAGGATCACGAGTGACTCAAACTCCGAGAGGACAGACCTTTCTACATACTTACAAAACTCATTGATAATGCTTACAAAATTGACCTACCAGGCGACTCCAAAATTTCGGTTGCATTCAATGTTGTGGATCTCACCACATACTACAAGGAACCTGAAGCTTCGACAACTGATGTTGAAGCCCCCCAACTCCGAGAGTGTGACGTGGGGCTAGTTGCTTGTAGTCTGTTGGACCGAAAAAAATAGGGAGTTGGTCCAGCTTTCACCCTGGACCAGACCGGTCCAGTATATTAATTCGCACATGTCTCCTTCTCTAATGCCCAATTTTTTCACTCCAATTTCCCTGCCACCGTGCCCTATTCACCCGCATCCTCTCCTAGCCGTTGCAAACCCTTCCTTTCCTTTACCCCCTTCCTTCCCAAGATCTTACCTTTGTTGTCTCCCTTTCCTCCCCTATTTATACATGTTATCTTCTTAGGTCAAATTAGTCTTTATTGTTAATTTTTTGTTCCAGTGGTCTTACTGATGTTCTCCCTCATTCAAGGTTGTATCCTTTGGCGAAGTTGTGTTGCAGTTGTATCTCGCCAAGGTGTTGTGTATCCCTGCTCTGAGCCATCCTCCCGGTATCTCCCTTGTCCTTGTAGAACTCCTAATCCTCCAGTTGGTCGTTCGACCTTCATTCGGACTCCCTCTACCCGGTACAGACGAGCCACCGCACTCCTCCAGGCTATCACGTCACCCTCCTACGCCACCTCCCTCCATTTTCATGCCTCCACTTCTCTTCCAAGTTGCCGCACCGCTTCTTCTACGCCACATCCTTCCTCTGTCACGCCTCCTAGTCTCCTCGGCAGATCGCTGCCCCCTCTAGGTCCCCTCCAACACTCCATTCAGCCATTGCTAAGCTGCTTCTACACACTTTTTGTCGACCCCCGGGTTTGCCACCTCCATCAGTGTTCGACTAGCAGTCGTCAGCTCCCCCTAGCCCTGCTCCAACAGTTTCCAGCCGCCTACCAGAGCGGTTGCATCATATTCGCCGCATTCCAGGACTGTTTCTACCTCATGCTGAGGCTATTTCTGTATTCAATATTCGTTTATTGTTTGTGTTATTTTGTTTACTGTTTATGTGTTTTTCGTTTGTTGTTTATCCGTTAATATTTGAAAAGAATCATCACTGTACTCGTCTCTAAAATTCAATAATAAAATTTGTCAAGTTTGAGTCGTAGTTTGGGTTAAATCCCGTATCAGTGGGCTTACGAGATGTTGATGCCAAAGAGTGGTGGTAATTGCAGATCAAAAGGCTATATGAGGGGAGGCGGGAATGGACTAGAGTGCACTATGTTTGTGTCAACGAAGGAGAACGAGTTCTTTTTCTAAGCCTGGATGCATAAATAATTGACATAAAAAATGAGAAGGCAAATGTAATTTGAAAAGCGGATTGCAAATTGTGAGCAGTTTGCAAGCATGGATAATTCGAAATACAATTAGCATACGTCATGGGGTGGGTAGAATGCCTCATCCTTCATGGGAGATAGGGATCAATTGGTACTAGCCCTTAGTGACTGACTTAGTCAAATCAAGAGTGAAGGGGTATATTGCTACAAATGATCCAAGCAAGATATGAGATGGTCAAAGGCTCTAGAGTTGAGAATCTAGTTAAAGTCGGGATGGGGTTCGGCGGAGAGCAAGGTCGCAAAAAAGTCTGAGTGGGTTTTTATTGAAGACTCGAGTGATGCGAGCAATCTACAGCTGATTGTATGACTTTGATCTGATAGGTGCTTTGTGAGTTCTTAGACTTGTTTGTATACCTAAAATGATTCTAACTCTATCTTCCTCTGGATCTCGAGTTGCCTCATTGTTGATGACTAGGATTTATGGTGTCTCGTGGTTGTTGACTAGGATTGGTGGTAAGAACAATGTAAGAGGAATTGAGCTTGCTTGCTTTTGCAGTGTTGGCAACCATATTGACTTCCTCATTGCACGGGAATGAGTAAAGGACATCCAAACTGATCGGAGTTAGAGTGTGCTAGATGGAGCCCGGTTTGCGACCCCAGCTCCCGCTCTTGCTTCATTCCAGTTTCGCGAATCGGCGTCAACCCTCTGTCGCGATACCAGTTCCCACCTCTATCAGTTTCACAAACCGATGCCTGCTTTTGCCTCTTCTTCGTGATATAAGGGATCCTGCCCCATCCTTCGGTGATTTTGATCACGAGACTGGTGACGAGGAAGTAACTACACGCGGTTTGCTTCTTCCTGGCTTATGGCAAAAAAGAGTTCTTCCTTTGTGTTGTTTCAGTGACAGAATGCAAGGCTTATCTCTCCATTTTGGGCGTTTTCTCTTGTGGTTCTCGGGTAGAGTGAAGGAGATAGAGAAGGAGAATGAAGGAGATGAGAGATTTCTCTTGTAATTGTCGAAACGATCAACTGGTGTAAATTCTTCACGTAGTAAAATCCTCTGCAACTCTGTGGACGCATGCAATTTGTTGAACCACGTAAATCTGTGTGTTCTGCTGTGTATTGTTTGACAGTAAGAGGTACAAGACTAGACTTGTTGTAAAAGGATTTCAGCAAAAATATGGTATTGATTATTCAGAGATTTTCTCTCCTATGGCGAAGCTTACAACTATCAGAATAGTACTGTCTATGGTGGCTACTGAAGATCTATTCCTTGAGTGGACCATCTACATGGGGAACTTGAAGAAAACATCTACATGCACCAAATTCCTTGAGTGGTTAGATGTGAAGACAGTCTTTCTTCATGGGGAACTTGAAGAAAACATCTACATGCACCAACCTAAAGGGTTTATAGTACAGATAAAGGAAAATTCAGTTTGCAGATTGAAGAAGAACTTGTATGGTTTGAAGCAAGCTCCTAAACAGTGGTACCAAAAATTTGATAATTTCATGCACGGTGCAAGGTACAGCAGATGTCAGACAGATCATCATTGCTATGTCAGGTATTTTGACTATTTTGACAATTCTTATATCCTTATATCATCCTACTATTGTATGTGAATGATATACTTATTGCAGAGGCTAGTACTGCTGAGATTAATAATCTGAAGGAGCCTAAGCGTGATATTTGGTTCTTGACTCAAATCTCCTTTAAATTTAAAAGTTGCAAAACAAATCCTTGGCATGAGAATTGTCAAAGATAGAGTCAGAGACACGTTGAGACTCTCTCGGGCTGAGTATGTGAAAAAGGTACTTAACAGATTCAATATGGATAAGGCCAAACCAGTTGACACACCATTGGGCAGTCAATTCAGACTCAGCAAGAATCAATCATCCAAGTCAGATGAGGAACGGGACCATATGAGTAAGATTCCTTATGTTTCAGTTATTGATTCACTTATGTATGTTATGGTTTGCACCAAACTAGATATTGCTCATGCAGTGAGAGTTGTTAGCAGATACATGAGTAATCCAAGAAAGAAACATTGGAAAGCAGTGAAGTGGATCTTGAGGTACCTAAGAGGCTCTTCAGAAACTTGCTTGTGTTTCTCAGTAAAAAGTTCAGAGGTACAAAGCTATGTTGATGTTGATTTAGCTTGAGACATTAATGTCAGAAGAAGTACTACGGACTATATTTATACTCTTGGTGGCACAGCAGTGTCATGGAGCTCTAATCTGCAGAAGACAGTGTCGTTGTCTACCACAGAAACTGAGTATATAGCAGAGTCAGAGGTTGCAAATGGCTACAGGGCTTCTTAGAAGAATTGGGCAAGAAGAATCAGAAGGGCATTCCCTACAATGACAGTCAGAGTGCCATATTCCTTGCCAGGAATCTAGCATTTCAGTCCAGGACCAAGCACATTCAGATCACGTATCACTTTATACGATTATTATGAATGACAGACAGTTGTTGCTTGAGAAAATTTGTGGAAGTCATAACCATGTTTATATGCTGACAAAAAGTGTTACTCTTGAGAAATTGAAGTTGTGTGCAACTTCAGTTGGTCTTCTACCTTGAATACAGAGTCTTGAGTTGCAGAGGCGGAGGATATTACGTTTGAAGAAAAGCGCGAAGTCGCCAGTGGATGATATGAGTTTGAGGAAAAAAACGTTGTAGTTTGTATATTGGTCTCAATGTGGGAGAATTGTTGGATAGAGCCCGGTTCGCAACCCTAGCTCCCGCTCCCGCCTTCCCGCCCGCTCCTTTCCCGTTTCGCAAATCGGTACCATCCCTCTGTCGCGATACCTGTTCCCGTCTCTGTCAGATTCACGAACCGACGCCTGCTTCTGCCTCTTCTTCCCGATATAAGGGATCCTGTCCTTCGGTGATTTTGATCGTGAGACTGGTGACGAGGAAGTAGCTACAGGCGGTTTGTTTCTTCCTAGCTTACGGCAAAAAGGTGTTCTTCCTTTGTGTTTTTCGGTGACTGAACGCAAGGCTTATCTCTCCATTTTGGGTGTTTTCTCTTGTGGTTCTCGGGTAGAGTGAAGAAGATAGAGAAGGAGAGTGAAGGAGAGGAGAGATTTCTCTTGCAATTGTTGAAACGATCAACATGCGTAAATTTTTCAAGTAGTAAAATCCTCTGCAACTTCGTGGATATAGACAATTTGTCGAACCATGTAAATCTGTGTGTTCCGCAGTGTACTATTTTATGGTGTGAATTTTATCGTTCCAATTTTTTCGCTTTATTCGTTGATCATTCTTCTATTTTTCTATATACCACAACAGAGTGGTTCAGATGGCAAGCTTAGTTGCATCATATGCAAGCGGAAATCCATTGAGGGTGTATAAGAGAGCGACTTCATGCTCTAGACAGCCACCAACTACGTATGTTGTAAATGAGTTCTTTGATTTGAGTAAGGTAATGTGCCTTTATGCTTGTCCCCATTGTGATATTATGTAATTCATTTTTGAGTTTAATTATTCGTGACCAGGGATTGCAATTGTTTTTCAAGTGTCGTCCAAACGGCGGAAGTACTGGGAAGATAGAGTAAATATGCAGAAATGGATGCAGAGATAGTGGATAAAAAAGCGTCCATGAGGTTTTCATCTATGAGCTGCCAAATGCTGTAATTTGGGTTTGGAATAGTTTGTCCTGCTTCAATGGTAGTGAATCTGGGAAGAAATTGATCGTTCCTTTCAAGGAAGAAAGTGAATCCTTTTGCAGTGATTACTTTGAGCATTTGTGCTTTCAAAATGAGATAACTCTCGTTGGTAAGGCGTGTATTAAAGATGATTTTGATGTGTGCCATGAGAAATTTGATGGAGGAAGGAATAGTAACTTCGGCCATTTTGAGCAGAAACAAACTTGATGGTTGGCTTAAAGTTCTGTGGTGACATTCGGAACAGATTACAACGTTGAGAAAAAAAAAAAAAAAAAAAAAAAAAAAAACGTTAGACAACTTCGAGACACATAATGAAGAAAGAGCTGCTAGCAAGCGCATTCAAAGAAAAGCTGCTATTAGAAACAACACGCGATGATTCAAAGGTAACAATAGGGTTCCTTCCAGGTTGAGATCAAGCAAGATCGACACCGCAGGGCCACGAATCGGCACCAAAATAAGCTCGAATGGCTAAAATTAGTCTCTCTTTCATAAAAATCATATCACACATTAATCATTAATCCGAATTTTCAAAGAACCGATCCTCTTACCTTAGTATCTGAAGAGTTTGCAGCTGCGGCGCAGATCATTCTCCGTTGTCTGGCAATAACCTTCTCCCTTGGATAAATCGTCATCCTCAAATTAGGATGGATGGTTCCGGCGGTGCTTGCTTCCCTGAAGCGTAGCGATAGAATCGAAGCACTGCAAAGCGCCAATGGTTTACGGCGCACATTGAGAGCGTTGGAGGCAAAGCTCCCCTGAAAGCATAAAGAATAGTGAGCTTAGCTAGTCAAGAGGTAAACGACTTCTCTCTCAAATGAATCAGAGAGCGACCTGCACAGCAGAAGCAGATAAGCAGGATGCCATGGCGGCGGCGGCGGTGGAGGAGGAGGGGATAATATTCTTCTGGGGTGAAGGAGAAAGGATAGCGAGGAGGGCTTTCCGGAGGTGTGTAAACCAGCCTAACACGAGAGAGCCGGAGGAGGGCAGTCCAAAGAAGAAATATTACATCAGTACTACCACCCACGTAAAAATAACGTGCGTAGCCAATCAAAACACGTCACGACATCGCGCACGGCAGAGTAAAAAAAACGGCGCAGTAACACGGGGAATATTCTCTCATATGTTATTCATGTGTTATTGCGTGTTATTCATGTGTTATTGTGTGTTATTCATGTGTTATTGTGTTATTATAACACCAAGAATATTCTCAAGATACAATAACACATGAATAACACACAATAACACTTGAATAAAACGGGAAATATTCTCGATAGAGAAAAAAACGGCGCAGTAACGCGGGGGAATATTCTCTCGTGTGTTATTCATGTGTTATTGTGTGTTATTCATGTGTTATTGTATCCTGGGAATATTCCTGGTGTTATAATAACACAATAACACATGAATAACACATGAATAACACACAATAACACATGAATAACACGGGGGGAAATATTCCCCGTGTTACTGCGCCGTTTTTTTTCTGCGTCGCGAGGGATATCGTGACGTGATTTCATTGGGTACGCACGTTACTCTACGTGCGTAGTACTGATGTAATATTTTTTCCAGTCAAAACGGCTCGTTGTTCGCGAACACTAGGCTAGTGTTGAGCTTCTGTTCGGTTGTTTTGCTAACACGGTTTTTCTTTACTGCTCATTTTGGCCTGATATACTATTAATCAATTATATATATATTTTTGCTGAATAGTATTTTTAAAAAATTAATTTTGTAGAAGGCTAAATAAATTTATAATCAATTAAAAGTATTAATGAAGAAAATAGATTAAAAATTATTAATTTAGATTCAAATGATATTTTAAATCTTGCTCCAATCCTTAACAGCATATGACTACGTGATTAAGATTGTCAAAACAATTCTTTGTTCGTGAACCGCTCGTGTTCATCTCGCTAAGCAAACAAGTCGAACACAAACACACTTTTGTGTTCGGCTCATTTACACCCCTAGAGCCGAGGCTAATATTAGGCTCCTTAAAAACTAAAATTATGAATGTTGGTTTTAGGCTCCTTTATTTTTCTAACATTGAAATTATATTTGTGTTCGGCTTATTTGCTTAGCGAGCCAAACACGAGTTATTCACGAACAAAAAGTCATTTTGACAACCTTAATCACGTAGTCATATGATGTTAAGAATTAGGACAAGATTTTAATCTTATTGTTTATATTAAAACAACATTTAAAAATAATTTAATATATTTTTACTTTATTTTTTTAATTAATAATTTTAATTGATTATAAATCTTTATAGCCTTGCACTAAATTAATTTTTTTTAAAAAATACTAATTGATGAGTATTATCCGAGTCAAAACGAGTCGAACACGGACGAACAAAGTTTTGTTCATGTTCAACTAGTTTTTATATCAAGCACAACAAAATTGTTCGTGTTCGGCTCGATAACTTAGCGAATGAATGGAATACAAGTTTCTTGACAAGCCGAACACTAGTTATTCACGACCAACGAGCCGTTTTGACAGCTCTATACGTGGTGACACCTAGAGGCTAGAGGTTGTTTGGTGAGTAATGAATAGGATTTACTTCATGGGAGAACTCTATTCAATTTAAATTTAGTAAATTAAAAGATAATTAATTCTATAAATTATTTGTCATAATAATCATTAAATTTATGGGGTGTTTGGTGGCACACTATTTAGAGGATTTAGATGGATTTAACTTAAATCCCGTCAAACATTAAAAAAATAGGAAGTAAATCCAACGTTATGTTACATTAAAACTTTTTGTGTTCCGTTAAATTTCTCGCGTTCTGCTAACTTTAAGATGTAAATTTGGATTTATTAAAATTAACAATAAGGTGGATTTAAGGGATGTGACCTCTTGAAGTTATTCTCAAATGAATACTCTCCAGACTCTAACCTATAGCTATCAATGCAAATTTGATAATGAAAATTATTATTGTACTCCCAAAAAATAAATAATTTTCATGAATCCCAAAGGAATCCAATGGCCTCGGATGAAGTGAACTGGTTAGATAGGACCCACTAGGAAAATAACCAGAACAGAGTCCCAATAGCCAGCGAATAATCAAAGGTCGGAAGAAACCGAAAACCCCCCCCAGTCCTAAGCTAACCGGGAACAGAGACAGGGTGGCTCAAGCAGTCGAGGACCCCTAGAGAGTTGAGGTGACCAATGGTACTTATTCCCACCAGATGATTTTCCCGACGGACGAAACAACACTATATGTTCGCCTTCAGAGGATCAACCGACCAGTTGGACCCGAATTGTCAGCTGACTAAAAGAGCCAACTCTGACAGTTTGTCGATATGCACGACCACCTCATCCTATTCACTCGACTTATTGGGCTAAAGATCAAATTAAGCCACTAGGATTACCAGGGTGAAATACTCGAAATACCCTGTACAACCTATATTAAAGCATATGCAAGCATGTAATTTAACACCTTAGCCCAATATCTCCTATAAATAGGAGGGCAACAGTATGTATTAAGGGCTTTTTATGCCTTTGAGCCTTTGCCTCTTTAGGCTTTTTTTGCACTCTTCTCTTTAAACTCACTCTGTGGGAGATCTTTCTCCACTTCTCTCTTATAACCACCCGATTGCAATATATAAATTGGGTCATAGAGCTTGGGAATACCCCATTTCTCCCCTATGGAACAAGTTTGTGTGTGCTCTTTCATTATTTATTCCTCTCCGTGTTTTTTTGTTTCTCCCTCAAGGTTTTTATCGCTCCGATTTCTTGGGCATGCCTCACAAGTTAAATTTGGATTCGATAATTTGGGATATTGAGACATAGAAAGCCCTAAGCAACCATATGCAAAAGCTAGATTCACATACACAAGAAAAAGATACTCGGTAGATACTCCTTTCATAACATAATCAAAAGACTAAATTAGTCAACAATTTAGAATTCTTTAATTAAAATATTTCCATAACAAGTGCATATTATTGGGACCATGTTGCATTAGATTTGTGGTGAAACTTGAAAGTACTAAATTAGGTGGGTATGAGTTAGTTTAGCATATAAACATTTTGAAAATTGGGACCATGTTTCTTGGTCATAGAGCTTAGTTTTTTTTTTTTTTTTTAATTTAGGATCATCAAAGCCTTCATTAAGGAAAAGACCCATTCAATCCTACCACTAACCACATTACTAACAAAAAAAGTTTCTTACAAAATTTCTAATGCATGTACATAAAATTTTATAAACATTTGTGCACGGGAAAGCAATAAAAATACATAAATCAAGAAAATATTAAGTCCGGCAAACCGGACGTGCAGATGACGACGTGGATCACATTACGCTGTGCATTTGGTGGGATGATAATATGATGCTTGAACAGAAGTTGATAGTTCATATGCTACATTATTTTATTAAAATATTCTTTTCTTTTCTAAAAAGAAAATAATAGTGTAGAAATGGAGATGATTTATTTATTTATTTTTTTTTTTCTTTCCTTTTTAATGGAGAGGATTTTGATGATTGCACTTGTGGCTCTGAGTAAAATAATTTATGTAAGACTTCTTGTGGCGTTATATTACTTCAATTACATTAATAAAATATAATATTCAAAATTGATTTGAGTATTATAGCATATAAACATTTTTTATTTATTTATAATTATGACACTTAAACTTCTGAAATTCAAATCAGATATTAAATCTAACGAAAAACCAAGATTTAAAAGCTAAACTGTAATTTTATCATTGCTTAAATCTTGGTGATGTAACAAATACTACTATTTTATATTCGCTTAAATGTCATAATACTGTCATCAATACACGAAAGAAATCTACTTTATAAATATAAAACATACCCCATAGTCAAAGTCATCCCTGTAAATCAACTTATACTTCTGTGGAAGATATAGACTGAAGAAATTACCAAATTTCCAACTATTTGTCAATCAAAACTCCCTCTCTGCCAGTGTGGAAAATATTCTTTCTGGATATTGTGGCCAACTACGGGCCGCCACGTTGTCATATACAATTTCGACAGGTAATATGATGGCTGATGATTGATGGCCCGGACGCGTAGCCGTAGAGATACTCTTCACCTCCATGAATCATAAATATCAAACTACCATGCCAGATCATAGTGACAATAAAGAGTAACTTTATTAAAACATGATAGTTGCAGAAGAAATGCGAATTAATTAAATCCAACCGACAAAGCGGCGCACCGGAATCACACAAAGGCGTTGGAGAAGGAAACAGAAACAAAAAAAAGATGATTTTTACGATCACTCTGTTCGTGAATCAACTCAACTCTTGATCTTCGTTGCTAACCGGGTCTTGATCTTCTCAACTTCCTTTCTACGGATCTGAAACGCTTTAGCGAGCACATTATCGGGGAGCGGCGGCGAGGAGCCAAAGAGCGCGGCGGCGACACCCTGCGTGCCGGGCAGCTGGCTGTTAAAGGCGGCGATAACGGCGGCCGGCTTAGGCGGCCGGCTTATCCCCATTGTTCTGCTGAAAATGAAGGAGGCCGCGGGGGAAGACGAAGTTCTGTCCCTGAGTTATGGTTTTGGTCACGAGCTTATTAGCGGTGGTGATGAAGCCCACGTGGAGAGTCCCGTAGAGAACGAAGATGATTTCGGTGGCGCGGGGGTGGGTGTGCGGTGGATTCAAGCCTTTGGGAGCGTAGTCGATCCGCGACATTGAAACGCCGAGCGTGTTGAGTCCCGCGATTTTCTCGACGTTCGCCGCCGTTACGACGGATCCCAAGCTGTTGTTGGTGGCGGCCGGCGTTGCTAAGCCGTCGAAGAAGAAGTCGTCCGCCGTCACCGCGGCGGAGGGCTTGCAGAGGAATCCGTTTACTTTGACATCTGTGGTGATGGAAAAAAAGAAAAATTTTTAATTAAAGCTGAGTGATGGATGGATTGAAGCGTTGGATTGATTACTGGAGTTGAGGTCGGCGACGCAGAGGTCTTGGAGCGAGTCGGCGTCGGCGGCGGAGGTGAGGGCGGCGGCGGCGGTGATGAGGAGGAAGAAAGCTTTGGAGCGGATCGC